TCTAAGTAGAAAATGGGGGAAAATAACTTATTGGAAAGTTGGGTTTTCTGGTCTGTCCTTTTCCCTTTTTCAGTGTCCATTCCCCTGGAAACTGTTCAGAGAGATCTGTTGCCTCCTTAATGAGAGCTCTTAATAATAAAAGCCAACTTTTTATCAGGAGTTAGATACAGGAGACCTAAAAACTGTTAGCAACAGAGATCAGGGAAGAGCTAGCCAAGGATACATTTGTATACTCAAAATGTCTCCTGTTTACAGGATTCTATCTTGGACATCAAAGTGCCCATATTTAAAGGACCTGGAGAGATGCCTGAAATCCGCTCCTACATGGAAGAGTTCCCGTTCCCGTTCTACATCATCCTTCGCGATGTGAACGCACTCCCGGAGACACTCAGCGATGCTCTCAGGCAGTGGTTTGAATTGGTGGCAGCCTCTGACCACCTGTAGGGAAGGAACACAGTCTAAAGTGAGACTTTACACCACGGTCAGACTGTGACGCCTCTAGCCAGACTTTACACCACGGCCCCTCTTTTGGACAACTGCTTCTGAACTCACAGCTCTAAAATGTTATTTTATCTTAGATCTGATTTATAAAAATTCACCTAATAGCTACAGTTTTTATTACAATGTACACTTTATCTTACAGTGTGCTTTCAGAGACTGGCCAGCCTGGCCCCTGGCTCCAGTTGTAACAAACCCAGGGTAGCAGTGGGTGTCTGGACCTGGAAGTCCTGGCCCAAGAGGAGGCCAGGGCCCAGCTATCACTTCCTCTTGCAGGAGCCCTGGACGCCCGCCTGGGGGAGTAGCTGCTGGGAGAATGGGACTGACCTAGTCCTTTGGACAAAGGACCAAAGGCAGCTGCCCTTGGGACCCTGCTCTAAGGCTCTGCTTTTCGAGCCCACAGTGTGTATCCAAATGCTGTTAGGGGGCAGACACAGCTATAGTTTCTAGAGTCTCGAGTGCATGTGTTTCTCATTGTGCTTCATGTGAAAGGAACTACCTTCTCTTTGAGGGTTAGGAAGGTCGGGGTGTGGGTGTTCTCATAAAGCAACCAGAGAGCATGGGAGCCCAGGTAAGCTGAAAAATGACCCTTGGGCTGTGTAAAAATGAAGTGGCTTTTCTGTGCCGTCTTTCCCATTTGCTGCAGGAGACTATGCAATGATGGAAAAATGACTTTCCCTTTCGTTATTTCATTCTCTCAGTGCCATGATCCCTGTTGTAGTAATTTATTTCTTTAGTTCATTTTTTCTTAACTGTTAAGGGGAAGAATATTCCTCTCACTGCTTTTAAGCTACACTGAGCCAGTCTTGTTCTGGAAAAGAAATGCTTTGTTTAAGAAAACTAAGCTACTCCCCCCGCAAACTACATCAATGATTTTTAGACAGTTTTTACTTGGCCAGACAGCACTGAATACTTGAAATTGTGTGCGGTATTCTATTTAAGTTGTCAGAAGATTCTTTTGTAGACAACATGCCATCACATAGTCGTCTATCTCCCATTTGCTTTCACGTTACACTGTGAAGTTTGCCACCACTTTTGAGGTGGTCAAAGACACAGATTGCTTGTTGTTATACCAAGTGTCCTAAAGCATGTACCTGAAGTTATATCATTTTTTATTCTAAAAAGCTATGCAGCTTATATTCTGAAAATTATTAAATATATACCACTGTTGTAATTCGTGACCAGTTTGTTTGTTTTTTAAAGTGCTTGAGAAGCAGGGAGTGCAGAGTGGGAGAGAGAATCTGAAGCAGGCTCCCTGCGGAGCCCAATCTCAAAACCATGAGATCATGACCTGAGCCAAAAACCAAGAATCAGACACATAACTGACCTTGGCTGTCGGATCAGTCAGCTGTCACTGGCATATGCTGCCTTACCACGGCCCCACCACCTCAGTGGCTTCTTGTAGTAAGGGTTTATTTCTCGCTCGTGTTTCATGTCCATGGTGGGTGAGCTGCCACGCGCGGGCCTTGTGACACAGGAAGGGGTGAGTTGGTGGAAAACATAATGGCTGACACAGATTTTGCTCCAAAATGATAGGTTCCTTCCATTCCTATTTCATTGGCCATAGCCATCAGTGATGGGTCTGGAAGGAAAAGGCACCAACATTCTGACCATGGTGTTGTCTGTCATATGTACCTTTGAAATTGGACCATCTAAACTGAAGCCTCCTCACTGATACCCAAGAGTCCCATTTTCAGCTTGTGCTGTGATGGGAAATGTGGGAGCAGTTGCAGGAGACCTCTAAGGAACTGCGATGAAGTGAAGGTAAGAAGCATGATGCACTTGAGCCGGAGTTAGAGGATATGCTTGCTCAGCTATTAGACTGGACAAGACGAGGGTTTGGATGAAGACAAAGTAAGGCAGCTTTTAGACATTTTTTTAGACATTTGTTTTATCCCTTCTGCTCTCCTGACTGCACTGTACCTGGAGCACCTTTTTATTTTAGAGAATCCCAAGCAGGTTCCATTCTCAGTGTGGAGCCCCCCACATGCGGCTCAATCCCACATCTTTCTGGGATCATGACCCGAGCCAAAATCAAGAGTCAGATGCTCAACTGACTAAGCCACCCAGGCACCCTAGGAGTGCTTTTAATCTGTAGCTGGACTACTTTGGTGGCCTCCCAGACAAGTCCCTTTGCCCACTTCATTTTCTCATAACATCCAAGAAAGAGATCATGCTTCTAGGGTGACCTCTCCCGTCCCTTTTCTCTCCCAGAATCCCACACTGTTGGTTCTGGTTACAGCAAATGAGAGGTCCTGGAATCTATCAGCATCCTAGGTGTTCTTTGGAATTCTCTGATCTAATGTGCCTTTCTGGAAACACCTACCTAGCTCAGTTTAAACCCTCAGGTATGAACCCTGACATCATCTGGAATATTGCATTGGACTGGAACTCACACTTTAGGCAAAAAATACCTAAGATGGGAGCATCTGTGACTCGTGACAGCATTACAGGGTCTAGCATGAGTTAATGTTTCTGGATGGGAAGAACTAGTATAAAAATGTCTTCTCACATTAATTTATAGATCCACACTATCAGTTTTAGTAAAGATCTTACAGTGATCAGTAGGGAAAGGATATAAAAGATTCTTAACAAGAAACTACAGGGGAGTAGTTCTGCCAATTAATAAAACATACTATTCCTAGATGAAATAATCCTGAACAATTTGTTCAGATCCTTAAAAAATTTAACATATGAGCATCATAAAGCCCAAGAATGTTTTTTGTTTTTTTTTTTTTAGTAATTTAGAGAGAGCCCGTGAGCAGGAAAGGGGCAGAAAGAGAGGAGAGAAAATCCCAGGCAGGCTCCCTGCGGTCAGCACGGATCCTGATGTGGGGCTTGATCCCATAACCCTGGGATCACGACCTGAGCCATGATCTAGAGTTGGATGCTCAACTGACTGAACCACCCAGGTGCCCCAGAGGAATGATCTTTCCACTTTAGCAGCTGGAAAAAAAAATTGACATCGACATCATGCCATAAAACAAAATAAACGGAGTAAATATTTTAAAAGTTAAGGAAGACATAAATACAGAATTACAAAGCTCTGAAGGGGAGAAGATAAAATTGAAAACCCTTGAAAGAAAAATCGATGACTGCATAGAAACTTCTCGAAGCTTTATAAGCAGGACTAAAATTGTTTTTAGTTTTGAGAGAGCCAGTGCGTGGGGGAAGGGCAGACTCCTTGCTGTCAGCATGGTGCCTGATGTGGGGCTTGATCTAGTGAATTCACGAGATCATAACCAGAGCCGAGATCGAGTCAGACACTTAAGTGACTGAGCCACTCAGGTGCCCCCAAAAGTACTGAAATTTTAAAACTAGCCAACAACCCATATAAAATTAGAGTAAAAACCTTGATCACCATAAATAGACCAGTCATGACAATTCATAAAAGTGGCAAAGGATATTTAATTTCACTAATTTTTATGAGAAGAAAATTGCTATTGCAATTAGACAAAACTTCAAAAATTGATCATAGCATCACCCATACAATGCCTGGTAATGTTCAAGAAAGCTAATATCAGAGTACAGGTGACAGGTCCTGTTTTTAGTAGGACTCACTCAGATCCTATTTCACTTTAATACAGGAAAGAGGCTGGGAGAAATCAAGTTGCCAGAAGAACACAACTAGAAAAAGGGACCACACCAGGCAATTCCAACAAGTGAGGCAATCAAGTAAATGCTCAGTAGACAGGTAACCAAATGAACATTTTTGGCTGTATTCTAATTTAGAACAATTCTATTTGACAAAGAATATAGCAAAGATTCACTAACCCTACTTACATAACTTAGGAAAATGTATGTGTTGCGGAGAGGGTAAAGTTATAAGGAAATAAAAGCTTAAAGGTGTGGGCATGTTCAGTGTCTCATTATTAGTGATACAAAATGGATAAAACTCCAGTGGGGTAGCCATTTAAAACCTCATGAAAACTATTGTGAAAATTAATAAAGGGAGACTTCACTGGAGTCGGAAGGCTAGAAAGGAATGCTTACCACTCAATGTCCCTTCCTGGAATTGCCCATTACAGACTCCAAGCAGGTCAATAGGAAACAATCATAAATTACAGGCCCCAACAGGCAAAAGACTTAAGAGGCGCAAAGTACAAGAACTACTTTCCTGCAACCCAGTGAGAAATCATCACCCTCAACTCTCTATTTTCCAGTGGCAGTAAACCTTCATATCTTTGTTATTTCTAACTATGCACATTTAAAAAGCTAAAAAGGAATACACTAAATTTTAGCCCGATCAAACTTCCATTTAATGAAAACCACAGTGACAGGAACTAGGCCAGTTGCCTTATCACAACCACTTGTGACACACGAACTGTAATCCCCTCTGTCCATAGGAAAATTTTGTCCGAGAAGTAAAATTGTCCAAGGTTATATATAGCTTATTGCTGGTTCCAACTGCTGGGGTTTCAGTTAGACACACTGCGGGGCTTTTGGAGGCCAAGGGTAATTCGCAGGCCGTCTCCAAGGAAACCGGGTTTACCCCGCCTCCTGACCACGCCCCCACTTCCGCTCCTGCGCATTGGCGCTCTAGGGGGACCCACGCTGCCTGGAGGACATGGCCACTTCCAGGTTACCCCCGGCGACTCTAACACTAAAGCAGGTAACACCTGTTCTCGAAAGCCTTCTAGGGAAGCTTTCCAGGGTCTGATTTCACTTATCCGTCTCTCCCTCGATACCCTCCTGCATAGTGCGTCTCCGGAGTGGCTCAGTCCAACACGGAATTCTGACCCCGCGCACACTCCCTTTGCGATTGGCCCGGCTTGGGGCGGGGCTTCCCGCTGCGGAAGCTGGGGTGGGGGCTGACCTCTGGCCACGGATTCACCGGGCCAACCGGCTGTCTATCTCTTGGAACCTATGCCTTGGCCACGGTAAAGATTGCTCTGGCTGTTGTACTGAGCTATTGTAAGGAGTGAGATTACCAAAGGATTTTTAACAACTGCATCGGTTTAGAAAAAACACTGTTACTGTAATCACAGCTTTTAGTGGTAGCCTTTTTTCTGCCCTTTTTCTGTCTTTTGATGGTAAGGGTTCTTAGGTTTGACAAAGGAGTAAGCAAAGAGCCCAAACAAACTATTCACCCTTTTCTGAAAAGGGTGAAATTTTGAAAAAGGCAAAGAAAAGTCACCTGTTTAGTTTGGTTTCCCAAAGTACAGCCCTCTGGGCTGTAGGGTTGGCAGTTGTACTGACATTTCTCCTCCCCTCTACAGTTCCTGAGAAGGCAACAAGTTCTCCTGCTCTACAGAAGGATTTTGCAAACAATTCGGCAAGTTCCAAACGATTCTGATCGCAAATACCTGAAGGACTGGGCAAGGGAAGAATTCAAAAGAAACAAAAATGCCACCGAAGAGGTGAGGAAGAGATCACGGGGAGGACAGGCCCTGACCACTTTGTATTATTTGGGTATTTATCTTTTTAAAAGATGAGTAGACATCTTGGAGTGTGTCACAGAGATGACAGATCTTCAGCATTGCTTTTAGTGTTAACCATTTTTTTACTTCAGTGATATTTAAAATTTCGTCGTCTTTGCTCCACAGTAGCATCACCTGTCCTCTTAACTAGATCTAGGTACACACATGAAAAGATTATAAATAGGACAGCATGGTGGTTTGGGAATATGATGACTGGGGTATCCTAAAGCAGGCTAGACACAACCCACAGTTGTCAGCCTGGGGCTTTCGTGATACCCAGCGTTCCAAGTCTCGGTGTTGGTTCCTGACTAACAAATAAGAAGATAGAGCTGCTTTAATCAGGTAGAACAATGACCAGATTTCACTTTCTTCTACAGGATACAATCCGGATGATGATTACTCAAGGCAATATGCAGCTCAAGGAGTTAGAAAGAACACTTGCTTTGGCAAAATCTTAACTACAGCATTATTCTGAAAGATTTTCAAAGTCTCCATGTATGTTGTCCAGCTGATTAGACTCAATGATGGACAGTCTGTACAGGACTTGGGAAAATACAGAACATGGAGCATGGCATGTCAGAGCAAAGAAAAGCACATCAGAACAATTGCCTGAACACTGAAAACTATGTATTTTGAAAATGTTTTTGGATGTGTCAGCAGTTTAAGCAGCAAAAACCAGTATAGGTGGTCAGCACAGAAGATGATCAATACCCTTAACTATCTGGGAAATACAGAGCTAAACCACACTGAGCCAGTATCCAGATCAGCTGGAATAACTAATTAAAAAGATAATAACAAATGGTGGTAGAGATGTAGGGAAATTGGACCTCTCATACCTAGCTGTGGGAATAGAAAACCGCACAGCCAAATTGGAAAACAGACTGTCAGCTGCTTAAGAAATTAAGTTCAACAATTCTGCTCCTAGGTCTGTAACCCAGAGAACTGAAAACCTTTCTACAAAAAACTTGTACAGATCATAACAGCCAAAAAGTAGAAGCAAACCAAATGCCCATCAACAGATAAGTGATTAAATAAGATGTCCATAGAATTAGCAAAAAAAGGAATTAAGTACGGATACATGCTAAACACGGATGAACCCCAAGACCAGTCCCAGAAGATCACGTATTGTAGGATTCCATTTATATGAACTGTCTGAAGTAGACAGAAAGAGGTGTTTGCTTGGGGCTGTAGACAGCATGGAGAAAAATTTGATATGGGGTTCCTGTTCTGGATGAGGAAAGCACTCTAACATTAGATTGTGGTGTTGGATGCACAACTCTGAATATACTCACGCCCACTGAATTGTACATTTTGTATGTGTGGTATGTGAATTCTGCTTCAACAAAGCTAGGTTTTACTGATTCTTCCCCCCCCCCCCCGATATATAATTGACACATAATACTGTTGTGTAAGTCAATAAAGCTGTTTTAAGAAGCAGTAGGAGATTTATGATCTGAGGCATACTGACCTCAGGAGATACCCTAGACCTTTCTTGAAAAAAGTCCTTCTGCGTTACCCCTCAGGGTTGCTGAGGTAGGGTCTTCAGATGTGTCATGATCTCATGGCAGAGGACTCTCTGAAAAGGTCACCACTGGGAATCTAGACCCTTGTTGGAAAGGAAAGAGAAGCCTAATGAACACGTTGAAGTGCTTACCAAAAAGAAGAGACAACTTCTGGGTGAAACTAATGAAATTACCTTAGCATCCACAAAGAAAAAAAAAAGGATCAGGGGAGATCCTTGGTGCATTAGGTTCCCTTCCAGTGACGGGAAGAAAAAGAGTAAGAATACATTGAAGATAAGAAATTGACTTGAGCACATTTTGAGACCAAATGTATAACAACAGTTAATTTAGTGAAAGTGAGAGCTTATGGAAGAGGCGGATAGACAGTCCTGCAGACTGACTGCCTCTGTTCATTTACAGAACACATCTAAAAAGTTAATCCAAGAATCTGACCAGCACCTGGAAAATGTAGGAAAAATTTTGCAGAATGGTTACCTAGTACCAGATTGGGCACCAAAGGTGAGAGAGAAGCAGATGGTGGCCTTTGTCAATGACCTGCATTGCCAGGGTCCACCCAACCCTCCCATGGCCTCAAAGCCCTCAAGACAAAAATCATTCTTCAACAGGGTAATCGAATTCAATCAAAATGCATGAGCTAATTATTAGGTTTGTATATAGGTGTACACTAGTCAACCTATCACAAGGCCATTTGATGAAAAGAAGTATTTATGAACAGTTTCTGAACAGAATACTTTTCTTTGTACAGCATGATATACATACTCAAATTAGGCTATCTCTAGTAAATCTAAGATCTTGACACCAAAAGTCATCCTTTTATGAGGTGTAGAAGTCAGTGACTTGCTGACGTTTTTCTAGCAGTGGTGTGGGTCAAAGATGTAAGAGCATTCGTGGTTTAAATTTGCAAGATGCAAAAATACCAAGAAAACCTAACTTGGGTTTGTTTTGATTGTTGAAACTGCAAATTTTCATCTTCCAGAGGCTAAAATTTTTGTAATCTTATATAATAATGGACAAGGCTTTAGTGCTAAATAAGTCTTAGCCAAAACACAACTTCTCATCTCACATACGGAACTGTGCACATTAAGACGTTGGCCAGATTAGAACTGTCGGTGAAACACATTTAGCATCTTTTACCAGTGTTCTGGACTAGACAACAAATTAACCTTTTTGGGTATTCCCTGTAAACCATACTCTTTTTTTTTAATATTAGCTCCACTTTATTTTTTTAATGTTTTATTTATTTCTAGGAGAGAGAGAGAGAGACAGTGTGAGCAGAGGAGGGTCAGAGAGAGAAGGAGTCACAGACCAAAACAGGCTCCAGGCTCTGAGCTGGCAGTCAGCACAGAGCCCGACGCGGGGCCTGAACCCACAAACCACAAGATCATGACCTAAGAGAAAGTCGGACGCTCAACCGACTAAGCCACCCAGGCGCCCCTGTAAGCCATACTCTTAAAAAAATTTTTTTTTATTTGAAAGACAGCTAGTGCGTGCGAGGGCGGGGCAAAAGAGGAGGGAGAATCCCAAGCAGGCCCCACATTGTGCACTGTCAGTGTAGAGCCTGATGCAGGGCTTAATCTCAGGCACCGGGAGATCATGACCTGAGCTAAAAATCAAGTCAGACACTTAACTGACTGAACCAACCAGGCAGCCCAACCATACTCTTATGAGTCTTCTAGTTTTGTTCCTCAGGTTTAATTCTAAGATGTTTGCATGTTAAGTTTATGTATTTGAACTATACAGTAAGTCAAACCTTTACATTAAAAAAAAATTTTTTTTTAAATACAAAACATTTAAGCATGAGGAGAGTGGCCAGGGCTGTTATTGCACACTGTCCCTACATCATTCATTTCCTCCTTTTAAGTGTGCCATCGGGTCGGAAGTTCAAAACCAAGGCCCAGGCATCACTGTGGATGTGCCTGCAGAGCAGAGGACTTGAACGCCTGAGGAAAGTGGAACATGCTTCCTGGCATTTGCATTACTGTAGTCACACCAGCAGACACACAGGAGAGGGGGAGACCCACACTTACCTAAATGGTCTCTTTTATGGAAGAGAAATGTAGTCAAACAGGATGCAGCTCCCATCTACTGTGGGAAAAAAATTGGGCTTATGTAGAGGAAGGTCCAAGGAGGCTCAAAAGCAAACTGTCACTTTGTGCCAAACTAGAAAATCACCCAGCCGGTTTCCTTCCTTCAGTCAGGCATTGGAGAAATTCAGAATTAAATTTACTATTTTTGTTTACTAGGTCGCTTTTTACCCATTCTGTTTTGCATTAGAAAATGTGTTGTGCTGTTGCTTAGGTGTCTCAGGGATTTAATGTTCACATTTATTGTCATAATATTTTGGCAGTATTAGAGAAGAATATTTCCCTTTAAAGCCACAACAAAAATTTTTTTCTTATGCATAAGTATTCTAAAAGGTCAGCTTTGTCTTTAAATCTTATTTATTTGATTTGGCTTTTATATCACAGGAAGAAGTGTATTTAGCTTTTACGAACAGTTTGTCAAAACATGTTATTCTGCCTGCATACAATTAAGAAGTTTTGTTCTGTTTAGTATTTTCTAAAAGGTCAATGGTTTAAATGAAACATTTAAGCTTGCACTGAGTAAAATTTCCATATTATGGGCTTCTGAAAAATTGATTTTTCATGCAGTGCACCTGACCTCTACCTTGAAGCGGATGTATTTACCGGAAGTTACACTTCTATAGAAACAAGGTAAAATGTAGCTGGGTGAAGGCACTCACTCTTTCTGGGAACGTAAATTTGGTCAGCCACAGAAATGAAAGTGTACACTAAACAAAGTATTCATACTTTCATTTTTTAAAATAAGGATTTCAATCCATAGTGTTGAGAATCATAATGCTTGGAAGAGACAAATTCAGGTTAATAAAAATATTAAATAGAAGACAACATACCTCTCAAGTATCAACACTTGACTGAAAAAAAAGATTTAAACGTGAAAACGTCACTTCCCTTATTTTGGGCTCCCAAATTCAAATGATTAGAACTATATTCAATCCAATCAGATATTTACTGTATTCAATGCAATAATTCACCAACAAAACCCCCCACTGCAGCATTACACAACTTTTCTATGTTTTACATCATTTCCCCCCATAGCCATTGAATGTTCCAATCTCTGTTTCAAACACAACCCAAATGACAGGCTATAAATTAAGTTTTGCTTCTTTGGAAAAGTACTATTGTGGCATTTGCTCATTTTAGCAGTTCGCACATGGGGAAGAAAGGAAAAATACACATCAGACCCAGACTCAAGTTTTTGACAATACTAAGGAACAAAAACCCCAGTTGTTGAAAATGAAAAGCTATTGTATTGGTCTCGAGACGCTGCCGTCTCTTCAGGTTACACTGATCCGGTTTCCTTGCCTCTACTGGCTTTCCCCTCTGCTCGAGAAAGAGCCGTGTCATCCGTCTGACTAGGTGCCTTTGACCCTTCTCAATCTTCCCTAGTCTCTTGCCTAGGACGTTGGCAAAAATACCCAGTTCACAACGGTAAGCTGCCTGCTTCTGTGGGTAGGGGTTGCGTAATCAAAATGCTCCCTACCAAAGCACTCCTTGGTCTAGATAAAATTTGTTTCCAGCATTTCTCAACAGGGTTACTCCTTGAGATAACAGATATTTTGATAAGTGAAAAGAACTCCTGCTTAGACCACAACTTACTGAACATTTCAGGATTTCCTCTGAGTAGTTGGCAGTTTGCAAGAAATTGATGTATATTGAGGGCGTCTAAAGAGGTCAGTGATGCCAGATTAGGGAAAGATTTAAAAAACCGAAGGTACCATCGTCTAACTGCAATTCGGTGATTCTGCATTAGGAACAGAGATGAGAAAAGGAAAGTACCTCTACATTTAGCAGTGCAGCCAGATCCTCTGGGAAAGAATCAGACGGGCTTAACAGTAGTTGAGGAACAAGGCACACACAGACATGAACATAAACTTGGAAGAATATTAAATTGATTCCCAACCCAGGTTGTGTAATAGTGACCTAAATCTAGATCTATAGACTGTTACTGTTAAAAAAAACAAAAACTGAGCTTGTTAGGCAAGAACAAAGGGATTAAAAACATAACAGTTTTTCTGCGTGTTCCCATGTCAGCAATCATTTTCTCTTTGGCTCAGTGAGCAACATTTTATTCAAAGTTAGACAACAGTTACTCAGTCCCTGTGTTAATGGAAATAGAATTGACATTTCTTTGCATACATGGAATTTTGAGGAGATGAATATAATTCCACATACCAAGGGGGCAAGAAGCTTAAAGGACAACTGAATCCAAAGTTTCAACATACCCAAGCTACTCCATAGAGCAGAGGAAAATCCCTGGGGCTCCACAAAGATGGGGAATTGTGGGGTCTAGATTGAGTTGTTGAATTCTTCACCTTGACATAAAGACTACAAAGCAGTGGGTAATTTCTGAGGTTCTTCGATGACCATATAAAATTAGAAGTGAAATATTTTCAAGATATAGCCTTACTTCTTTACAAAATGTTGACCGAGAAGCTCAAATTTAGAAAGGTACTCGTGGTTAATTGGGTTTGGTTATGGATTCTTCTATAAAGAAGTTTCATGTAATTGTTAGGTGAATGTTTTTCCACTAACCTGCTCTCTGTATTTTGGCTGGAAATACAGAAACCATGACCAAATGATTGGAACCTTTCTCATTTGAGTTTATTAACAAACATTCCTAGCACTAGTAGCCAATTACTCATCATTTAAATGAGGTATTTAAATACCCTCTGACTTTGCAAGATACTTTTATTTTGGATCCAGTGACATCATGAAAATCATTTTCTCCTCAAAATCGGTTTGATAAGTTTTCATCTGGTTAAAAAAGTCAGCACTTTGAGAATGAGGAATTTGAGAGAACAGATTCAGCGCATCTCAGCCATAGCTCGTACTGAAAGATGCTCTCCTCTGGGCTCTGCAGGGGTGCTCACATGAAGGACTACTCGGGTTCAAAAGGGATTTCTTCTTCCTTTTGATTTATATTATTTCAGATATCCTGAATTTTAGGCTTTAGGCTTTACACATCTTTCCGTTTCTTAGTGTGGCTCACTTAATCCGGGCTTTTGAACCTCGGATTTTGAGTTTGTAATGAAACCTGGCACAAAGCAAGCCTCTCTTGGCTTCAGTTGTCACTGTGGAAGGTTTCATAACTTCGGGGTGCAGGAAAGCGGGTGTCTGGCACATTTCAGCAATTTGACTTTTTGTTTTTAAAGGCAAGTCTGCACGAGAACCGATACCGTGGGCACAGCTGTTGGAGAGCTGCAAAAGCGAAGTCCTCCAGAACCCCTTCTCGGGCCACTTTGCAGGTTCTAATTTTCCTTCTGCACCTTAGTCCTTAGTTTAGCAAGTTCTTCTTCTAAACTTTTAATATGTTCCTTCAGGGTGGCCTTGTCTTGCTGTGCCTTCTGACTGGCTTGGCTTCGCGCTTCTTCAATCTTCCTCTCGTACCACTTTTCCATCTGGGTAGAAACAGCCTCAAAAAAATACTGGGTAATCTCCAGAGCCTGGGAGGTGTCTCGAACGTGAGAGGCAGTCTGTTCGCTGCCCACTGCCGGTGGCGGCTGCCCACCAGTGGTGCCGGGGGCCGTGTGCTGGGGCCGATGCCTCGTCTGCCCACTTTTCCCAGACTTCTTGGTTTGGGTGCCTCTGTCAACACAGGACCCAGCCTGCTGATCACACTTGGCCGCCTCTTTCAAGGGGAGCAAGGCTGTCTGGACCTTGACATTCCTCAGTCGGGATGCTGTACAGTCTGAGGAAGACAGCTCCTGCTGTAGTCTGTGGGTAGCAGTGGAGTTGAAGGCCTTTTCCTTGGGCCTAACCACCTGAGGAGAACTGTCAGAAGCCACTGCCGGACCTGCAGTGGCCACGGACTGATCCACACCTAGTTGCGGAAGGAAAACAAATGTCGGAGTAAATCCATGTTCACACAGTCATGGGGCTACAGGCTGGCATTTGAGAGACCTGATAATCCCGCAAACCATCAGCCCTCTCAGGTGCCAGCCACCACGCGCAGCTTCTCCTCTGCCCTTCCCTTCCACTTGCCCCTGGTTATCATTTTGGCCTGTCAGGGCTTTCATGGGTAACGATGTTAACCATTCTGGTGGCATCTACGCCAAAAGAAGTTGCTGGCCTTTCCTTTAGCCAGTTTCAATCTACCTTAGAAGGCTCTGGGTGCTGTTTTATGATTGCTAAGGATGACACAGCTCACCAAATGTCTCCCAAACAGAACTGGGCATGTACTGAGGAAAATAAATATACCCATTCCCTAATTTCTGGGCCTTTTCCACACCATAGCCCCAGTTACTAGTTGCTTGATCCTGGCTCCAATTTGGAGCAGTGGTCCTATCCTCCATACCAGAGCTCCAGCCAAACTCCAGAACTAGACTGATGATGAAAAATTTGCCCAGGATTCCCCCAATGTTAGCATAGTTCCAAAGATGGTCTATAGTAACATAACACACTTGACATATCAAAATCCCCCATGGAGGCCTAATTACAAAGGCTCTGAATATCCTCAAAATTATCCGCATGGAGTATAATCACTGCGGCTAATGAAAAGATGCTTCATCTGAAAGATCTCTTTATCTAGCACCTGGGGCAGCTTCAATATATGAACTACTATTTAAGGAGGTTTTCCATACTTGGACAAAGGCTGATCAAAGAGAAGAAAGGAGAAGGAAGCCCAAGGGCCAGGGCAAGAGCTCTGCTGAGGAGACCAATGTCCATTCATGCTTCATCTTTGGGGCCCACTCACACCATCAACATTGTACCTGAAACACTGCTCTCACCAGTCAACAATCTTTTTACTCCTTCATTCAAACATTCTTAAGCATTTAACTAGGAGTGCTTCATCACCGTATGGGAACTGAATACACAGCAGTAAGCAAAATATGTCCTTGTTCCTACAGAATTTACAACCCAGTGTTTTCCACAGACTTATCCTATGTCCACAGGATACAGCAAAGAACAGTATCTGGGGGTTTCACCACCTTTGGATGGGATGGCTCTCTGCACACATTACCTGTAGAAGACTCGCAAGTAGATGGTGTGGATTTCGTCCTAGAGGCCCTAGAATCTCCGGAAAGCTTCAGCTCCAGATTCTGAATCTTTAACATGCACCAGGTTTTTAATTCATCAACCAATGACATCTAAAAATAAAAACAAACAAAACCAACACAAAATGACCAGGTGAATTGGATGCATGGTTTATGAAGTAAACCACCAAGAGTGGGTTTTTCAATTAAGATAGGTCAGGAGATCATCTTAACAAGCCTAGAAGTTGTGGATTATCTCCCCTCCTCTCCCCTCCCACAGGCCACACAGCCTTCTCTGCTTGCCCTCTGTAACCGGCATGCACATAGCACTAACGTTGAAAGTTTCTATAATCTTCTTTGAGTGAATTAGAGCCACCTTGAACACCCAAATCCTACAAATCAAGAATTTCTGGCTGCTTAGGAGCATAAATTCTCACATGCTCAATAAATACTCATTTTATGTCTGTTGTCTTGGGAAGACCACCAAGTCCAAGGGCAGGAACCAAATCTTGTTCAACTACAGAGCAATGCCCACAAATGCACAATACGTAGAAATGATTCAAGGCAGAGACATTTTTCCAGTGTGTTCTATTAACTGTTCTGTCTCCACCTATTCCCAGAATAGTCAGCAACAAATGAACTAACTGAATTACATGCACTTTTCTATTAACTTCATTTCAGAGTTAGAAAAAGGACACTCTGTGTAATACGAATGCAATTAGGGATTCTTGGCCTCTGGGTTTTCAATGATGGATCTGAGTCTTAACTCAGTGGAGATGTGTGGTAAATTCCCAGTTAAGGGCAGATCCTGACTTTCACCTGTCGTCTCTCTCCCTCGTGCTTCTCTGTGTCCGAATGTTGTTGCAGGCGGTTCAGGCACTCTGTTCTCTCCGCTGAAAGCCGCTCAACCATCAGCTTGTCCAGAACACGCATCTAGGATTCAGTGAGCAAAAAGCAGAGGATGGAGATGAGCTAAGGATGGGGTCTCACCTCGTGACCCCTGGGGCTCTGGGGACCAGCGGGGCCAGCGGAAACAGAAGGAAACCTCAACTTCTTTTATTCTAGTTTCATCTAGTATGCATCCAACTCCTAGCTTTTCACAATCCCTGAGCAGGTTTGTGTGTAGTCAAGGCCTCTCTTTCTTATTGTTTAAGTCATAAGGGGTTGAAGAGACTGAGTATACAAGTTGAGCCAATGCAGACCTTGTACGAAGAATTTTTGTAGGTCTTACAACATTATTTCCAATACTATCATTGAAAGGAAAACTATTTCTAGAAGTATGGAGCTGTTCATTATTTTCATTACCCTTTTCAATTAATTTTTAACACCCTCCAAGCCCTTAAAATGTTAGTAGCTGCCCACAAGATAGCAAAAGAAGCAGAATGCCCAGGGCTCTTATCCAGTATTCCTAGTGAATACATCCCCTCGGTGCTTCACTGAAAGTCATCAAAGCAAGTGAGAAGAAGGGTGGGGAAGGATTTCACGGGGAGGGCTCCAGAGAACCAATGATGGTCACTTAACAGTCATGCCCTCCTGGGCCCCCCCTTTATCTTGACGTTTCCTGTAGGACCCTAACATCCAGGAAAGCCAAACTTTCCCTGCTTTGACAAAGTCCATACCAGGGAGAGACTTTGTCAGCAGGGGCCAGCCCACATGGTCTGTTCCACAATCAGATGTTCAAAACACAAAAAGAAGGACCAGTTCTGGAGATGGGAGGAAGGCTCACTGGTGAGCTCTTCTCCTGTCAGTGGCACATATGATGTTCAAAAATCAATAAAGCAGCAGCAGTTCTGGAGACGTGGTGAGCACCTTCTGTTTTGTTTCTTCAGCCAGGTTTTTTCTGTGAGCTGCTCGCCTCCTGTTTTCTAGGATTGGCCTGCTCCACCTATCTCCTCATCCTCTGTCAAGAGCAACTGTGTTGACATACAGTTTTTGTTCCGGGGCATGGCTGACTGCCTCAGGCATGGGCACCAGATTCATGCCACACCAAAGCCGGTGCCAGAGTCCATCACCTACGACTGGGAATTAGGACTAAGGTTCTACACACCCATCTGTCACCTTCCTTGAACTGAAGCAAGGTCCTTGAGATGGTCGGTCCAGCATTCATCTAATACACTGCTCACTGGGCTCAGGCTAGCTAAAGTGGTTTTTTTTTTTTTTACAAAACAGTCTTAATATACTGTGGCTGTAGGAAAAGAGTTCTTAAATGGGCTTTCCATGAAGGGCAAATAGCAAATAAACCTAAAACGTTCTACCTCACCAACAAACAAGGAAATAAAAATTAAACAATACAGGGGCGCCTGGGCGGCCAACTTCGGCTCAGGTCATGATCTCACAGTCCGTGGGATCGAACCCCACATCGGGCTCTGTGCTGTTAGCTCAGAGCCTGGAGCCTGCTTCGGATTCTGTGATTCCCTCTCTGCCCTTCCGCCACTCAAGCTCTGTCTCTGTCTCCAAAAAAAAAAAAAAACCAATATACTTAATTTGGCAAAAACTCTAATAATATTAATGATGGCAAAGGTTTGAAACAGAAACTCAATTTATATTCTATCCTACCTGTAGGATATAAATTCATACAACCTTTCTATTAAGTAGATTACTAATAATTATGAATAGATTTAAACATCTTAACTTTGGACCCAATTATCCTAAAACAGAGCAAATAACTTGAGAAGCAGATGTTTATACACATAAATGTTCATCATAGCAAAAATGTTCGTATAAGAACAAAACTATAAGCAACTTTAAAGTCTAACAAAAAAGAATGGTTAAATAAGCCATTGTATTAATATGTTGGAATATTATGAAGCATAAAAACCTAAAAAAATGCTCAGGATATCAAATTACATGAAAAAATCTGGAAGCAAAAATATATGTGTAATTTAGGAAGGTGGTGCAGAGATGGGTGAAAGAGGTGGAGGGGTGGTTAAGGAATGAACTTGTTATGAACACTGGGTGATGTATGGAACTGTTGAATCACTATATTGCACACCCTAAACATAACACCACATCTTAACTATACTGGAAGTAAAAAAAATAAACCACGTACTAGACAAAAGCAAATTATATGTATAAGTCCATACACAGAAGAGCACATTGCCATTAAACAGCATATTGAAACAACATATCTAAGACATATTACTAAATTTAAATGTAAGCTACAAAGATGAGAAGTGCCCTTTGGGTCCAAGATAGTGAGGAAGGAAAATCCGATGATCATCTCCTCCACATACCTATACCTATTTAAAGAAGAGTTAATACCTAGTCTTTCCAAACTGTTCCAAAACACTAGGAGAGGAAGGAAAGCTTTCAAATACATTCTACATGGCCAGCATTATCTTGATACCAAAACCAGAAAAAGATACTCCAAAAAAAGAAACATACAGATCAATATCCCTGATGAACATAGATACAAAAAACCTCAACAAAATATTAGCAAACTTCTTTCAACAATACTTCAAAATGATCAATCACCACAATCAATGGGATTTATTCTGGGGATGAAAGGATGGTACAATATCCACGAATCAATATGATACACCACATTAACAAAATGAAGAAAAATCCTATGATCATCTCAACAGATGCAGAAAAGGCATTTGACAAAGTTCAACATCTGTTCATGATAAAAACTCTCAAAAGAGTGGGTTTAAAGGGAACATACCTCAAAATAATAAGAGCCTTATATGACAAACTGACAGCTTCCATCATACTCAATGGTAAAAAACTGAGTTTTGCTAAGATCAGGAACAAGACAGTGACATCTACTCTCACCACTTTTATCCAATATAGTACTAAAAGTTTTAGCCACAGCAATCAGAAAAATAAAAAAGTATCCACATTGAATAGGAAGAAGTAAAATTGTCACTATTTGCAGTTAACATGATACTATACATAGAAAACCTTAAAGACTCCACCACAAACCTATCAGAATACATGAATTCAGTAAAGTTGTGGGATACGAAATTAATATACAGAAATCTGTTGCATTTCTAGATACTAACAATGAAGTAGCAGAAAGAGAAATTAAGAAACCCATTCCATTTACACTTGCACCAAAAAGAAAATATCTAGGAATAAACTTCACCCAGGAGGTAAAAGACCTATACTCTGAAAATATAAAGCACTGATGAAAGAATTGAAGACAACACAAATGGAAAGATAGTCCATGATCATGGATTAGGAACTCAATATTGTTAAAATGTCCACACTACCCAAAGCAATGTTCAATGCAACCAATATCAAAATACCAACAGCATTTTTCACAGAACTAGAATAATCCTAAAATTTGTCTGGAAATACAAAATACCCTAAATAGTTAAAGCAATCTTAAGACAAGGCTGGCAGTTACACAATCCCAGATTTCAAAATATACTACAAAGCTATAATAAAACAATATGGCACTGGCACAAAAATAGACACATAGATCAATAAACAGCCCAGAAATGAACCCACACTTTTATGGTCAATCTACAAGAGAAGAGGCAAGAATATACAGGGGAAAAAAGGTCTTTTAAAAAATTTTTTAAATTAACTTTTAATGTTTATTTTTGAGAGAGAAAGAGAGAGAGAGAGAGAGCGCGCAGAGGAGGGACAGAGAGAGAGAATCTAAAATAGGCTCCAGGCTCTGAGCTGTCAGCACAGAACCCGATGCAGGGCTCCAAGTCACAAGCTGTGAGATCCTAACCCAAGCCGAAGCTGGAGTTGGATGCTTAACAGACTGAGCCACCCAGGTGCCCCAATGTTTATTTTTGAATTGCGGGGGGGAGCAAAGGGCAAGCAGGGGAGGGTCAGAGAGAAAGGGAGACACAGAATGGGAAGCAGGCTCCAGGCTCTGAGCTGTCAGCACAGAGCCCAAAACGGGCTCAAACCCATGAACTGTAAAATGATGACCTGAATCAAAGTCAGACCCCAACCAACTGAGCTATCCAGGCGCCCCAAGACAGTCTCTTTAATAAATGGTGCTAGAAAAACAACACAGCTACATGCAAAAGAAAAACTGCACCACGTTTTTATACCATACACAAAAAATGAATTTAAAATGGATTAAAGACCTAAATGTGAGACCGAAATCATAAAACTTCTAGACGAAAATATAGGCAGTAATCTCTTTGACGTCAGCCTTAGCAACGTTTTTCTAGACAGGTCTCCTCAGGCAAAGGAACAAAAGCAAAAATAAACTACTGGGATTACACCAAAATATAAAGCTTTTGCATATGAAGGAAGCCATCAACAAAATGAAAAGGCAACTTACTGAATGGGAGAAGGTATTTGCAAGTGATATATACAACAAGGGGTTCATAACCAAAATATATAAAGAACTTACAGAACTCAACCCTCAACAATTTGATTTAAAAATAGGCAGAGGACCTGAATAGACATTTTTCCAAAGACAATATACAGATGGCAAACAGGCACATGAAAGATGTTTAACATCACTAATAAGGGAAATGGGCAAATCAAAACCATAATGAGGTATAACCGCACACCAGTCAGAACAGCTAGTATCAAAATGACAAGAAAGAAGTGTTGGCAAGGATGTGGAGAAAAAGCAATCCTCGTGCACTGTTGGTGGGAATGTAAATTGATAAAAAAAAAAAAAAAAAAATCACTCTGGAAAACAATATGGAGGTTCCTCAAAAATTAAAAATAGAACTACTATAGATGATTCAGTAATTCTACTACTGGGTATTAGTATCCAGTAATTCTACTACCTGAAGAAAACAAAAATACTAACTCGGAAAGATATATGCATTCATATTTTTATTGTAGTATTATTTACAGCAATCAAGATATGGAAGCAACCCAAGTATCCATTGATAGATGAGCGGATTAAAAAGATACGGAGTGCATGTGTGTGTGTGCGCGCACGCACACACACACAACGATGTATTACTCAGCCATTAAAAAAAAAAAATATCCTGCAGGGCACCTGGGTGGCTCACTAATAACTTTAAAATGAACTTTAAAATAAAATGGTAAATCTTAAAAAAAAATATCTTGCCATTTGTGACGACATGGATGGACCTAGAGGGCCTAGAGAAATAAGTCAGACAGAGACAAATACCATAGGATTTCACTTATATGGAATCTAAAACACAAATGAACAACAAAAGCAGAAACAGAATCATAAGCTTCCCCTGGTAGTTGCCAGAGAAGAGGTAGGGGGATGAGCAAAGTGGGTGAAGGGAAGTGGGAAGTACAGGTCTCCAGTTATGGAATGAAGAAGTCAAGGGGTGAAAGGTAGCAGATGGTAACCACACTTGCTGGTGAACATGGCAGAACATATGGACTTGTGCAATCACTACGTTGTACACCTGAAACTAATGTAATGTAACGTGTGTCAACTGTACTTCAATTAAAAAGCTGAAAAAAAACCCTCAAAACACAGCATAGTTCCATTTTTGTTTTAAAGTGGTAATTAGAGAAAACTCTATGGGAAAATAAACAAAAACAGTAATGGAAGGGATCTCTGGAAAGTATCACTATATTACATATTCCTGGAATGTGGATTTTTTCCTATTAATAGGTTAGTTTATAAATTTTTAAAGTATTTTTTATACTTAAAAATCTATATTCACCATATATTTCTGATTACAAAGAGAAAAAATATATTCTTTGATGGAGAGACATGGTGGTTACCAACTTAGCCAAGTAATCAAATTCATCACCAATAAGGAGACATCGTGGCATTAGGTGCCTCCTGATGTGACGTCATCTGAAGTTTACACAATTAACTGACATTTTCTTGCCAAAAATATTTAATCTGAACCTAAATAAGCACCTAGACACTAGTGGTTCTCAAAGTTGAAGGTCTTGTTCAAACACAGGTGGCTAGACCCTGTCCCCAGAGGTTTATTCACAATTAAGTCCAGTAGATCTGCCTCAAGAATTTTCGTTTTTGCCCCCACCACTCCTGGGTAATGCTGATGCTACTGGTCCAGGGAGGACACTTCGAGACCCACTGCTCTAGACCTAACTTTCAGTTCACAGCGATACAGAGACAAAGGAACAAATTAAATACCACCACAGCGAGCCTATCAGACACATCTAGAATATTGAACATCCTAAATAACAACTGGCCTAGACTTTTTAAAAAGTCAATATCCTAGGAATAAAGAAAAAGATGGAAGAAGGAATCAGACCGTGGTAGATGAAAAGAAACCAGAGATGCATAAATAACCCAGAGGCACAAAAGAATTACTGGATCCTGAGCTGGAATTTAAAACCAAAGCAAGCTATAAAAAAACATTTTGGAATAATGGAGAAAATCTCAGTATGGACTGGATATGATGCAGTCATTGTGATACGTGATAATGGTATTATGCTACGAAGGAGAAAGTCCTTATTCTTCGTGGAGATGCGCTCTGAAATATTTAGAGGTGAGAGGTCAGGACAGGCTCCAACTAAATCTCCAACAGTTCAAGAGAAAGACATGTGCATGTGAGAGACACAAAACAAATGTGGCAACATATTAACAAATGGTGGAGTCTGGTGGAGAGTAGACGCTCATTCGCTCATTCGTTTCTATGTTTTTCTTTGAAAATTTTCAAAATAAAAGAACCTATGGACATGATTGTTCTGATTGTGTATGCAACGGGAAAGGGGCCAGGATGTAGGCCAAAAAAATGGAAGAGAATAAACCCAAATGTTAATAGTGATTTGCCATTGTGGTGGGCTTTAGGGGGATTTCTTTTCCTTTCTAAATTTCATATTTAAAAAAAAATGCTCTGTAATAGGTATGTATTACTTTTATAATCAGAAGCAATTTAAGCGGGTTCTTAAAAACTGAGTAAATGGGCTTGGAAGAACTCACATAAGCCTCTTCCCTGAGAGCCTGCCTGACATGCTCGGCGCAGCCTGCAGAACAAAACATGCGCTTGGTGTGGGTGGCTTCTGTCTTCATTTCCTGCAGAACAGCTGGCCATGGTGGGGCGGTGGCGGGGGGGGGGGGGGGGGGGGGGGGGGGGGGGGGGGGGGAGGAGCAACTCACTCACCTGGTGCTGGGTCTTGTTCTCCATATGCCCCAGTTTTGTGTTCATTTTATCCTGAACCGACCCCAGCTCTGCTCTGATCTCCTCCACAGCTGCCTCCAACTGGTTCTCCAGCTTGTTGATTAGGGGCTCACATCTGCAACCATTTATTGGTGCCTAACAGGGGGACAATAAAGGAATCAATCCACTCATTCATTCCTTCAACAAACTGGTTTTGAGTACCCACCCAGGGCCAGTCAGTACGCCAGGGGGATACAGACGATGGAGGAGACATAACTTCAGGATATCCAGTGGGCCAACCTGTGGATCCAAAAGGCACTAAGAAGATTCAGAGAGGCTAAGCCATGGTCCCAGTCCTTGTGGCTTTTATACTCTGGGGCCTCAAGATTAATCTAGTCACTTAAGGATGGTGAACGAAGCTTTGTTCCTACCCCTATTTGCCTGGGAGTCAGCAACGGGGGGTGTATATGCCGTGTAGGGAGGGACATCCGGTTTATCTTCAAAGCTCATGCCTTTCCAAGTCAACACTGCAGTGGAGATTAGCCCCCAGGAATAGTATTAAACAGACAGCCTTGCTTAAGGCCTGTGGTCCTACGACCAGACAGGGCTCATGAAGTACCTGCATCACCTTCCCGTCCTTGCCCCGGTACAGCGTGTAGAGCTGGTACGCCCTGAACTCATGGGGAGGGGGTGGCGGTGAGCATCGGTGCCTGGGCCTCTTTTTAGGGTGACTGTGAGCATGCAAGTTCTTCTGGTGTCCAGGCTGTTGGTCTGCCGGTGGAGTGGGGTCAGAAAATGCTGACACCTGTGGGAGAGGAAGCGACAATACCCCTGAGCACTGTGACATCTGCAAGACCGACCTAGCCGAGAGCTCCCGTTCTCACCCTCGTTTGGTCAAAGAGCCTGCCTTGCTTGATCTCACGGCACTCCACCGTAAGCACTGCATATCCAAAGAAATAGATCAGCACATTAACCTTGGGTTTGAAGTACCCAGATTTAATTTCTGTGCTCTGGCTCCAAACCGGCAAGCGAAGTCAAGTGGCATTTTAGCTGCTGGACATGGCGTGATCCCAGGGCCCTCTGCCAAACTGCCTCCCAGCCCCCCCTTGGCTGCCTTCACGTGCCTCCTGACCTTGGGCCTTGACTTTCTCTGCCTGTTGTCCTTTGCCCTGGGCTCTGGGGAGGCGGACAGGACATCTTCTCTGGCCTCTTCTTTTCTGGGTGCAGCCTGTTCACTGCTGGGGGTGTCTCCTGCAGAGACACTTCCCTACAGAGGGGGAAAAAGAAGTGCCAGAAACCAGTTCTAATTGCCCCCTCCACCTTCTTCTGTAATGGTGTAAAATTCTCTTTGTAAGACTGCATCCACCAAAGGACCCACGGGAACCTTAGCCAATGACAAAGAGGGAACACTGCTTGCTGGTCTAAACTGAACATGTAGGACTTTCCCAGTCAGTTGAATATTTGGCTTTTACTTCATTAGGTGCCGAAGTAAACAAGAGTCTTGGGTCTAATTCTGTATCCTAGAGCTTCAGGAAGCTACCACAAACACCTCAGCATTAGAGAGTTTTTAATTTTTTGCATTTCAATCACAGCAACAACAAAAAAATCCCCACTTATTCTTTGAACCTGGACCTCACAATTCATAATGGAGTAGGAGAACCCTCTGAAATGAAAACATCACATTTCTAGCCCTTATAAGAACTTTTACAAATATGTACAATTCGCCCACAGGAACTTAATCAGAGTTACAATGCCTTAACCCTAGAAACTGTTAAGAGGATTTTGAAATAGAACAATGAGCACTTGGTATAAAATTTTATGTGCCAAAATTGTCTTTATATCCTAGTCTTTTTCCTCACGGGAGAGCTGAAAGGCATGGTTCATTCCAGTTGTGCAAGCTGTTCACTGCCCAAGGGCACCTAGCTGAGAGAGTTGAAATCTGGCTTGGGCTCTCTTTGCCTTTGACGCCCGGAGCAGGGCTGGGCTGCCCAAGGGGCATCTTTTTCGAAATTCGTAACAGAGGAAACACAGGGGCTAGCGCAGCCTCAATCCTTTCCCCAAGTGGGAAGAGAAGAAGCAACCTAGGCTAGTGGCTGTCAAACGTGAGTCCACATCACAATCATCTGCAGGGCCTGTTCTAACAGACTCCTGGGCCCCCTCCCAGAGTTTCTGATCCAGTGGGTCTGAGGGGGCGCCTCAAATTCTGCATTTCTAACAAGGTCCCAAGATGGCTGAGTGAACACTACATTTTGAAAACCACTGCCCTATACCATTTAGGGCACAGCGTCAGAGGCGGTGCTGTCCACATGGTAGCGATGAGGCCACAGATACATGGGGAAAATCGACCCAGACAACGGTGCTGCGAAAGACTGGCAACACAGGCACACGATCTGAAATCCTAGAAGAATGGAGGACACGAAGTGAAACGGGAAACACAGACAACAGTTTGAAGAACCAGTGGAAAGGAGAGACAGAGGAGAGCACGGCAGCTGCCAGATGAACCCAGAAGAACGGCCAGATCGCTTCCCACCCTCTGTAAGGGGTGAAGTTTGGGAGGGGCGGGAGAGCTACCCCCCACCTTGCTTTGTGCCACCTCATCTCTTGGCACAGACTGAGCTCTCCTCTCTTCCTTGAGCCTCTCTCTCTTTTTCCTCAGGCTTCGCCCACGACTGAAGCGCAAGACCTGAAGGAGGCAAGAGGCATGGTTACAAACCACTGGTGTGCACAGCGTCAGCGTGACAGAATTGTCCTTGGATCTGGTGCTCTGATCTAGTGGAACTTGCAGCCTAGTGGAAGAGACCAAGCATTCACATCAAACGCGCACCTCTGCCTGCCTGCTAGGCCGCCTAGGTCTTGTGCTCGGCTCTACAAGAGCCCAGAGAGAAGCAGGACATGATCCCTGATCTCAAGAAGCTTACGGTCTAGGACAACAACGGGCATTTGCATGCCAGACCATGGTCACCATATGGGGGTGTGGGTGTGCAGGCTGTTCACTGCCTAACTCCAGGGAGCACCATTCACAGACGATGATAGGAATGGCATCCCCTGGATTCGCACAACACGGTGGCCCCACGCCAGGCAGGGTCTCCCTATCTTGGTACACACTGGACCTGAACTATCCCATCATATTTTCTCTTGGCCAAACTGTATTTAAGTCATTTTTAGGTACATCTGTGAACCATGGTACCAACCACAGGACAGGAATCTTTTCCCCAAAAGGAAGCACGTGGCCTGCCCGAGTGTGCAGGAAGGCAGAACAGACACAGGCAAGTAGACATGGGGTCCAGTAGCCCGATTCTGGAACTGGGCAGCAGCTAGCTGTAGGATCCTCTGGCAAGTTATATGCGCCTTCTGTATTCTGCAAATACAGGGAGTTATGTGACTCACCAAGACAAAGCAGGTGGCTGGCATACCTGGACCTTCAGTCACTGTTAGGTACTTCCCTCCTGCCTTGATCCCTAGAGTTGCTTAATTGGCCAGAGGAAGGTTAACCAGAGTACAGATCTTTGAGCTGGCAGAAGCCTTCAACCTGTGGCCCCTGACTCCCAGCTTCAGGGTCACCTCCTTTCACTAAGGAGTCTCAGAAAGGGAAAACACTTCAAGGTCTCCTAATTTTTCTGCAAGAAAACATTTTAAGGTTTTCACTGGTCTAGGATAGAGAAGGGTTCTCTGAAGTTCAGGACAGTGCTTTCATCTAAATGTTCATCTTTCATGTGTTCATTAAATTCAAGTGACAATAATCCTAGGACAAGAAGAACCTCTATGGACAGCGGGTACAACCTAAGTGGAGAATTCCTGACAACGTCTGCCTGTGGCTAAACAAGATTTTTAAGTTGTATTCTCCTCCCCTAAGCCAACAGCTCTGAAAGTGTCCAGGGAACCCCGCGTCCATTGGCTTTTTCCCCTCTGAGTGTAAGGTAGTATTTACCAGAATCTGCACATGATACACCAGTGGCCCACATGCAGAAGTAGAGGGGCGCCCTCTCATCTTTTCAGTACCGTAATAAGGAGATTTGCAAAAATGTAAAACAATGCTACTTCCTCATCTCACATAACTTTTGTTTAGAAAGTTATTTTTCATAACAATGCTTTTTGTTACCACAAAATAAACTTAAACATCTTTAACATTTCTCAAAGTTCAAATGTGGTAACTATTAATAGAGATAACTCACACACAGCTCTTAATGGGCCTCTAGAACATTAAATGTCCCCAGATCAAAAGGTCTAAGAACCATTTCTAAAAGTAAATTCAGACTCATTAGGAAGTCAAGTCTATTGAAAAGAAGGGACGATGCCCATCACTCATTCAGTTTATGGACTCTTAGAACAGGATACAGCCCCAGCATCAACCCCAAATTCACTTTCAGAACCATTTGTGAACCATATCAATCTAAAATGAGAAGAGATACTCAGAGGTCACCCAAATCACCAGGATAAGTCCCTCCATAGACCAGGTTATTAGTCAGTGAAAATAACTTTGCATGGCTTACAGCCTTTCTCAGCCAACCGTATCTTCTACCAAATGGAACACCATCAATCTTTTCCAGTTCACCGAAATCAGGGAATATGGATCTTTAGAAAGAAGTAACCTCTTAGTACTGCTGTGAGCCATTCAAATCCAGGGTCCACTAAGGTGCCAAGGCAAAGGAATTTCCTGTTTCACACAAAGAGGAGAGCTAGTTCTGTAACTTCTGAAGAACAGCATATATACAATTTTATGCGTATTTCAAAGTTCCTTGTTCATATTGAGAATAGGGTTTAGCATGTACAATCATGTAAAATATTTCCATAAAACGTCATCCTATTTGCTATTCAAATTGGCATGAAAAAACTGAAGTAATATTTTAAATGGAAAAAGTGAAGGAGAACCACATAGGAAAATGGTTCATGATAAGTCTTTTTCCTTAAGAACTCAGATCCTTGAGTTCTGGAGACAAAGGACGAGGGTGGGGGTTAAAGGCCCTAAGTCTGTACCCCACAAAATTTCATGATCTTTACATGGCCAAGGACGCAGCCAGCTGTCCAAACTGCCAGTACTGAAATGTCAGATGTTAACAGATAAATTCTGACATTTATTATAGCATCCTGTACTTTTTGATTTTTGACCAGCCATTTGCTATCAGTATTCATGGATGCAATTCCAATAATGATTTGTTTGCAAATAGTTGGAAAGAGGTGGAAACTTTTTCCAAAGGACCACCTGACTTGTGTCTGTCAGGGGCTCCAAGGACGTCCAGACACCACTGAGAAGCACCAACTCCACATGGAACGGGTGACCAGTTTTCAAAAGACAAAAATCTTCATCACGTCCACAAACTGCTAGTTATATCAGTAGGTTTTTAAAACTTAAATGACATAAAGGCCATTCGGACCCTTAGGTTGACTGGAATTAGGCTCTGATGCAGCAGGCTGGAACCTGGAATCTTCCTCTGGCTCTCCAAGACTATCTTCTCACAACATTAGTCAGAATAAGGTAGAAAATGAATCAGTTTCCACTGTAATGTAATACAGAGTAGCTCGAATGGGGAAACAAAACATTTCCTTAATGTTGGACATTTGGGTTAACAAAACATTGGACAGCAACAAAAAAAGCATACTGGCTTCCATGATGATGAATAATTTTGAGAGCTACAGAGCATTCTTCTATTATAGTTAGGATAAAGGGCAGCAAACAAAAGGGCATGTATATTGTACGCACATTATAAAAATCATGCGTCTGAAAGGTAATATGAACAAAAACAGTTATTTCAGGGCACTGAAATGATGAATAGCTTATACATTATTAAATTTGTTACTTAGAGGATTTCAATCTCAACTCAAATGATATCAATTTTTTTAACTTAAATAGCCAAAATACCATTATTCAATAAAAAAAGAAAAGCTGTATTATACTTGTGTCTAATGGATATGTAGTGCTTTGTTTGCCCAGACTAGATCCCTTCCTCCCACCTTTCTCTAGAAAAGGCTCCGCCTCTAACCATATAGTCAGGTGGAGGCAGCTATCTTCCTAAAGTGCCTGCCCTGCTCATTCAGGCCATTTGCCCCAAGCTTGCCAATCATGATCCTCTTCTGCAACCAGAACTTCTTCCTGGAGAACTTGGGGAGTTATGGTCCACAAAGCTGGTAATGACAATGATCCAGCCACAGGGAAGAAATGATGCCCACGTATGAAGACAAGCCTGCTGCACTTGAAGTCTCTGGTTCTGGTTATCTTAGAGGCCCACATGGATTCCTACATTTTCCACTGCCTGGTTGTGAGCCCATCAGTTTCCTATTTAAGTTAGTTTGATTTGGCTTTAGTAGATAGCCAGAGAATCCCAACAACTTTGTAGCCCCACATAACCCATATAATGGAAAATGCAATCAATCCTACCTGGGGAGCTTTAGTGAGGAGAAGAGCAACTTCTGGATTATTGTGGTAGCGGGCAGTCTCCAATGGAGTCTGGCCTGCCTAAGGAAAGGCAAAGTGGGGGGGGGGGGGGGGACAAGTGAGTAAGAGATATCAACCCTGCACACACCCAGCCCAACTAGGATAGCAATTCTGCGCTTAGTCACACCAGCACCTACACGTGCCCAACAAAATACAGCCACATAGAAGACCCGGCCCCGCTCTGGGCCTCAACCCATTTGATGAGGGAGCCAAGTCACACCTGAGGGCACAATGATTACTAACACACAGCAACAGAGGGGAAGTGCTGACCCATGAACAGGAAGTGCTCTGGGAAGCAAAGCTCTGGAGTACCTGGCCACTAAGGAATGCTTCCTGGAAGAGAGAGGAGAGAATGTAAAAATCAGGGTCAAACTGGAAGGCTTAATTGAAGAAACACCAAGGATCATAAAATCCAGCCAAGCAATGAACTTTCCCTGGAGAACAGTGGTGAAGACACTTAGAAGGGCAGATCAGGGCAGAGTCACAGTCTCAGGACCTGGACTCTGAGAAACAATTAGGTAGCTATGGCCATCAGGGAGGTTCTCCGAAGACGAAGCCAGGAAGTAGGAGTTGGTAACATTGGGATTCAAAAGAAGGGAAAGGAGTCACAGGACAGGTACGATGGTGCACCACCCAGAACAGGTACGAGCGCTGTGAGGAGGAGGAAGAGGAGGAAGGCGGGGACTTTCCACACGACTGTTCCACCCCCAGCCTCTCTCAGTCTGTCTGTGCTACCTCAGGAGGGCAGAGACCACAGGTCAACCTTAAGGAAGAAAGGGTGCCTGAGCTGGTGCCTGCCATAGGACCTAGGAGAAAAGGGGAACAATGGTGGGGTAAGATATGGAGAGAAAGAAGGAAGGAGTAAGGTGATTTTGCAGACAAAGGAGTTAAGAGTTTTGAGGATGATTAATCTGATGGTCACGTGGCCGCTTTTCTAAGGAAGCTATCTGCTTACAATAGGGCAGGAACTCACTTTCAGTAATATCCACTTGTCAGTTTACTTAGACACCTCTAACCTTCCACTTCCTGCCAGGACTTGAACTAGGAGTTTAAAGATGACCCTGTAGGGCTCATCAACTCATGGAGCTTCTATGAGTAAGGGTTCCCTCAAGTCGACCTCTGGGGTCCTCCACATTAGCCGACTTTTTTTTTTTTTTTAATATTTTTGTTTATTTCTAGGAGAGAAAGAGAGAGAGAGAGGGACAGCGTGAGCAGGGGAGGGTCAGAGAGAGAGGGAGAGATACAGACTCCGGAAATAGGCTCCAGGCTCGCAGTCAGCACAGAGCCCGACGCGGGGCTCGAACCCACAAACCGCGAGATCATGATCTAAGTGAAAGTCGGACGCTTAACCGACTAAGCCACCCAGGCGCCCCCACGTTAGCTGACTTCTAAGTGCTTATAAAGTAAGTCTCTGGGAGGCTGTGTGCCCTGTAGGAAGGGAGGTAAGTAACAGCATGCTCTGTTCTAGAAAGGGATGGGAATGATTTTTAGAAACATTGTTGCAGCTTAACTTACATTATTAACAATGGTTCCATCTGCTCCAGCTTCCAGTAAGATTTTAACCACCTTCTTGTGATTTAGGGCAGCAGCAACATGAAGTGCTGTGTCTCCAGCCTGAAATTAATCAGAAGAAAGGCAGCTAAACTCCATCTGATCATGGCTCACAGCCTTCTGGCTTTTCATCCCATGGCCTGGTGGTAGCTTTCAAATTGGGATTTGCCTTAGACTGATAAGGGACCCTTTGCTCAAGCATTGTGTGGTTCTCTTTAAAGAGAGCTCTTTAAAATGACCTATGTACAAAGACCCCATTTCTTTCTGACTGATAGTAGAAATCACAGGAAAGGACAGGGGGCAACGTAATGTTGGCTTGGGATTGTTGAGACCATAAACCCGAAGCTGTACACCAAGGCAGGATGGTGTGCAAATAGCCAGGGGCCAGCAGGCTAGCCATAACAGAGCTCTGTACCATGTCCATCGGCCCAGGCAGAGGGCACCCTGGTTTCTGAGTGCTAGAATGAGTAGCGGCTGTGAAAGTGGTTCCTCCTACGAGCCCTGGGGGAGGATCCCAGCCCTGCAGCACCTGTGGGAATGTGAAGGGCCCACTACGAATCACTTTGCAGGCTCAGGGAGTCTTCATTTGGGTGGAGTCACTGAAAAAAATCAGTGTTCACTTAAGACCAGCTGTTTTCAACCTCTTACCAAATAAAGTCTATAATAAAGTTCAGATTTTCTTTATATAAAAAAAAGTTCAGACAATCAACCATGAAAGGGGGCTATGGACACATGTAGCTTGATGGGCCAATTCCACATGTAAAAGCTGGTGTTGCCCCAAGCAGAAGACTATGAATAAACCAGGCCGAGACAGATGTGAAATAATCCATTCTCTCAATTTGGGTGATCAAGTCAAGCTCTGGATAACTTGTCTTCCTGGGCAGCATGAAAACGCTGCTATCCCATGGCCCTCTTCCCCAGAGAGTAGCCAGGGAGAGATTTGGTTCATTGCTGAGTCACTTAGCTGTGTGTACAGGGGGCTGCTCTGTGGCAGTGGTTTCTAATCCTGGCTGCACACTGGAATCAACCGAGGAGCTTTTAAGAACTACTGATGCCTGGGTCTCGGCCCCCATGCTGATTAAATTGTTCTCAAGTGGAGGTTGGACATGGTGATTTTTAAAGCTCCCAGGTGACTGAAACATCCTGCCAAGGTGCAGAAGCACTGGTTAGTGGGGACTGGGTACAGGTAATCTGATGGACTAGACCCCGCTGGGAGGCTGCAGAATGACAGGATGTAGTTATTTAGGTAGGTCAGTGGTTCTCAATCCTGACTGCACACACAGGTCAGGAGCTTTCTAAAAATCCTATTACTTGGATTCTGGTCACTTAAACTGGGGTAGAATTCAGGAATGGTATTTATAATTGCCTTGTTGATTCTTCCATGCAGCCGGGATCAGAAACTGCTGTTACGGGGCACGGTTAACCTGAATAAAACTTCAGATATATGTACCCAAATGCAGAAAAGCCAAACCATGTATTGTTTAGCTTTAAATCAAAAAGTACCAACACATTAAAAAAATCTAAACTACTGAAAATCACACACATTTCCATGGAACACTGTAATAATCACAGCTTTATTGCACACCCCCACTATATGGACAGATACAGACCACACACCCAATTTTACAGAGACCAGAGACTTCATCCACTCAAAGTGGCAGGGCAAGGAACAGAATTTTTAATTCCCTTGCTTATTTACTAAGCCACAGTCTTCTTTGTGGATTTTCCTTTGTAAAAGCATTTAAAGCAAAACCTGCCCCAAGATCTTTAGAAAATGTTTAATATGCAAATGTGGGGATACGCACTGGAATAAGAGCAGGCTCTCTTCCCTCCAGGAGACCAGATAAGGCAGGGCCACAGGTACTTGGTGGAACACCCAGGCAAAGGCCAGCATTGGCCCAGTCGCAGACCGGAAGAGGCTCCCGGCAGCCTCTACCCTCATCTGTGCTAACACACCTGTCAGCCTTGTGGGAATGGGGCCTGGCGGCCATGGGGAAGACACATGCACTGACCTGGTTCTTTTCATGGACAGAACAGAAAGCACTGAGGAGGAGCTTAATGATGGACAAGTGATTATAGCGTGCGGCAACGTGCAAACAGGTATCGCCTGCCTGCGGACAGAAATCAAACTCTGAGCATAATCTGAGCAGTTACAAAAAGTAAAAAAAAAAAAAAATCATTAAAAAAACCTGGCAGACTAGCATATGTTCTTTAGAGGTTATCATCCTGAATTGGAATAATTCCCTTTACCGGAGACACTCTACTCTACTCCAAGACTCACAATTTCATGCTGTCCGCAGCCCCGCCCACTTTCTGCCGTGCAGACTCTCTGCTTTCAGGTTTCATACACTGGGTGCCTGGCCCCATGAGGCTGTCACAAGAGCTAAGGCAGGCTCTACTTACCCAGCACTTGATAAGAATCCACTGACCATACCCTCTCCTGCAGCCCCAAAGCTCTGGAGTATACCCAATTAATACCAACAGCAAATTAAAGAAAAAATTAAAAAAAAAAAAAAAAAAGACCAACAGCATCACTTGGAAATGAACCCTTTTCCATCATGGGTTCATCATGGCTCAAAGGACGGGGCCGCAGGGAGGGCTGTCAGACTTTAAGATCACGAGTGTTCTAAAAAAAATTTGAGCTGTATCCCATTTTAGCAGGACTCCAATATCTCATATGGGGCAGAGTAGTCTGGGGAGCTGATGAGGAAGCAATCACTGGGCATAAAACAGCACATTCAGAAAAACTCAGGATCAAGATCTTCCTTAGTGGTCACAGGCTAAGCTGCTCCCAGAGACCAAAACGGGAGACAAAGTCATGACATTCTGCAGTGTTTTCTTGAGGTTTTCATTCTAACTTTGTCTGGAGATGACGACCACTCAGCCTAACCTTCTCCCCTGGATTAACAGGGGGCCATGTGTGGGGAGCCTAGGTGGCTCAGTCGGGTGAACGTCCGACTTTGGCTCAGGTCATGATCTCGCATTCGTGGGTTCAAGCCTCGTATCGGGTTCCGTGCTGACAGCTCAGAGTCTGGAGCCTGTTTCAGATTCTGTGTCTCCTTCTCTCTCTGCCCCTCTCCTGCTTACACTTTGTCTCTCAAAAAATAAAAATGTATTGTTTTTATTAAAAAAAATTTTTTTTAAAGGAGCCAAGCTCAAAGCCAAGGTTTAGGGCATTCTGAGACCCACTATAGAGGAGTCTGCCCTCAGGGAGACCTCAACTAAGGCCTATTTAAAATTTTTATTTTTATTTAATTTATTTTGAGAAAAGCCTCAATCTCTAGTTGAGAGGCTGAGGCATGGGACTTACGAAGGAAACACAGCTGCTTTCTTTAGAGGGAGGAGGCATACCCGTGTGACCCTGAAAGTCAAGCATCCTCTAAATTACTGACCCATTGGCTCATCTCAAGGGTGCCTCACTAATCTATTCGTAGGTACTGGCCATGGAGCATCAGACAATATCGGAGTTTTGCTAACTGTACAACAGTATGTGGGCAGAGGTTTCCTACGTTCATTTGCCAGCACACGCTGGGAGAAATGTTAAAACAAACCCAGGCTGAGGAGCGAGGGGAAAAGGAGGGGAGAAAAGCAGTGCTTGAGTCTTGATGCCTCTGCCACCCCTAGAGGACCCCTTAGGACATAGCAAAAAAAAAAAAAAAATACAGATAGTCCCCAACACTTTTCACATTTTCATTTTCCAGATGGTAACACTCAAGTATGCTTTCAGAGTTATTTTCCTAGGTGACACAAGAGGGCACGAGAGAAGCCGGTGGTGTTCACCCACGTTATTTTTGAGGTCGGCTCGGGACCCGCCCAGCAGGAGGACGCGTGTGCTCTGGGAGTGGCTGTTCTGGCAGGCCAGGTGCAGAGCCGTGTTCCCCGCCTTGGAGAGAGGCAAGAGAAGGGAGGACACGTTAGCAACAAGCTTCTCGGCAGACCTGCGCCGGGCAGGCTTTGCAGAGGGGTGACGCTTCCGGGAAAGAGTCAATGCTCACATTCTCTGCTTCCGGACTAGTGACCCCAGCAGAGGTGTTTCGGTGGCAAGAACATTTAATGTGGAATCCAAACAGGCGCAAGAGTCACATCTGTCACAAAACCTTGGTTCCAAGTCCCGGCTCTACAACTTACTAGTTGAAAGTCACTGGTCAAGGCTCTTACCTATTCTCAGTCTTGAATTCCTTACCTGTAAAATGGAGTGTGAGCCCTACGTCCTGAGGCTGAGGATTAATTCAGAAGGCCTAGGAGAGTATTTACTTAATGGTAAAATGCTGTGCACACGCACCGCGTTACACTCTTTTTGGAGAGGCTTGCATCCTTCCTGGCCAACACAGATAACAGCTATGGCTACAATAAACCCCTGGAGTAAAGGCAAAACAGGCTGCTTCCTGAAAGTGCAGATAATGGAGGTTCAACTTGTAAGTGTCTTGAAAATCATCCACTCTTGAATTCTCCTTGAAACATAAAAATTTGAACTATGGACAAGGTACCCACATAGCAGGAAATACAATTATATCCATCACTTACCAGATAGAAACCCTCTAGCTTGTTGGACTCTATCTTCAATATGCCAGGTCTAAGTAACAGCCAAGGGTCAGAATAATGTTCACAGTAATCTTACAAAAAGAATTCACGACATGAACAAAACTTTTTAAAACCATGCCCAACAGTGCCTGCAAAGCTGTTGATAAAGAAAAGTAACAAGAAAAGCAGGCAGCACAAGAGGAGAGTCAGTGTTAGTCTGAGAGCCTAGGCGCATACGGGAGGTTAAATCTATAAGCTCGGCAATTGTTCTGCTAAACTAAAATGCTGGGTCAGGTCTGCAACTGTGTGGGCTCAAAGCTATTTCACTGCCTGTTTACAGCTTTGCCTCACCCAGGATCTGGATCATACAGTGTGTTTGGACACACGAATGTTCTGCTTCTCACCTCTTGAAAACAGGAATGAGTTTTACTAACACACACACACACACACACACACGCGCGCGCGCGACAAAACTGTATCACTGGTTCACTTACCTCCCCTCTCATACCCTTAGCTCTAAGTAGCCTGGTAGAACCTTTCTTCCTCACTGCTCCCTCCAGGAACCTGGCGGTTATGAGCCTGAGGGTTAGTGAATTCAGTGGTTATCAACCTTCGGCTGCACCTTGGAGTCACTTGGGGGAGCTTTTAAAACTACCAGTGCTCAGCTGCAACCTTTCCAGGGGCTCTGATCTACTTGGCCTGGGGGTGGACCTGGGAAGTTCAGGTTTTGGCACTAAGTCCCAAATTCCAGGAAACCCCTCAGTCCAGGGAAAACTGGGACAGCCCATTCATTACCCTAGGCCTCGTCATCAGGTGACCCCCTCTTTTTTTTCGGTTCAAAATTTCCCAAGAGATTTTAAAGCACAGCCAGGTAGAGAGCCACTGCTAGTCCACCTCTCAAAAACAAAGGACCTGCCCACATTTTAAACCAGTCGTTCCCTGTGAAAGGGCTCGATGCCTGGCTTGGTGTGATTCTTACAGCACAGGGAGTAATTTGTCTCAAAGCTGTTGGCTTCATGGGAGTTATTAACTGTGTTGAATAAATGAGTGAAATGAAAGAAATCTGGTGGTTCTGGAACTATCTACCTAACTGCTTTGCTAATAAGAAAATAATTAATTATGCCAAAAAACATTTGGATCAAGAAAATTAAAAACCATGGGTTAGCATAAACAAATTATAGTATGTTCATACACTGGAATATTACTAGCAATAAAAAGGAATGAATTAGGGGTGCCTGAGTGGCTCAGTCAGTTAAGTGACTTTGGCTCAGGTCATGTTGCGGTTCGTAAGTTTAAGTCCTGCGTCAGGCTCTGTGCTGACAGCCTGGAGCCTCCTTCGTATTCTGTCTGTCTCTGTCTCTGTCTCTCTCTGCCCCTCCCCCACCGACACTGTCTCTCTCTCTCTCTCTCAAAATATAAACATTAAAAAAAATTTTTTTAAAGGAATGAATTAATCACACGTGTAACAACATGGAGGGATCTCAAGAATATTAACCTAACTGAAGGAAGTCACAGTGACTTACAGAAGTCAGACACAAAATGCTCCATACTGTCTGATTCCATTTGTATGACATTCTGGGGAAGGCAGAACAGATTGGTGGTTGCCAGGAGCTGGGGGTGATGCATGGGAACACTGCCACCAAGGGGCACAAAGGAAGTCTTTGGGGTGTTGGAAATATTCTACACCCTGATTGTGGTGGTGGTTACTCAACTATATACATTTGTCAAAATTCTACAGTAGTATAGCTCAGACAGATGAACTTTATTGTATATGCATTACACCTCAGAAACTGACAGTTAGAAAATATGACCTAAGTAGATCTATGCAGCAGGCATCTTTCCCATCCTGACTAATGTGAACTTATTTCCAGACAGAGGCTGATCTAATCACTGAGTAAGAAGAACCTTTCTTATATAACAGAATATTATTCAACCTTAAAAAAAAGAAATTCTATCATGTGCGACATGTATGAACGTGGAGCACATTATGCTAAATGAAATGAGCCAGACAGAGAAATAAATACCGTACGATATCACTTAGATGTGGGAGGGTGGGGAAAACAGGGAGAGGCTGGTAAGTACAAACTTTCAGTTAAATGATGAATAAGGTCTAAAGGATTTAATGTTACAACACAGTGAAGATAGTTGATAAACTCTATTGTATAGCTGAAATTTACAAAGACTAGAACTTAGATGTTTCTATCAAAAAAAATTTTAAAGGGTAAACGTGAGGTGATGGGTGTCTGAACCCAATGGGGGCAATCCTTTCTCAAGGCATACATATATGAAGTCATCACTTTGTACATTTTAAATATCTTACAATTTTATTTGCCTGTTATACCTCAATAAAGCTGGGGGTGGCAGAGGACTTTCCTAGAAGCTTCCTCAGAGGTTGTGGCTGGTAGAGAATGTAGAAGTCTTTCTTCTGGGATGGCATCTATCTTTGCTCCTGCTGTTTTATCTAGAGAGGACTCGGCTTTCCACAATACTTCTGGGGCCCCAAATAGGATAGGAGGCAGTGTGGTGGAGCAGATTCAGGATAGTTTATGGCCCTGACTGTGTCACAAACAAGTCATGTGTCTTAGTTCTAAGACTACTAGCTCCCAGATTACACTTCCCTATCCATTACCTGGGAACTGCCTACTTCTCAGAGTTCAAGGATCTAATGAACAACATGGATCCACCTACAACTCATGTTCCAGACAATGTACCACCTTGAAGAAGTGAAGAAGCCACCGGTCTGCCAGGCAGTGACTCAGGCGTTATTGGAAATATCATGATGCATGGCTTGCTTCTTTTATTCAAGCTTCTGTCCCATGAGGGAACCATGAGAAACATTTAACGAGTAAATGACGGCACAAAGCTGTGTGAAGTGCCAAGGGAACCCTGTAGGTGATACCCTGATGGGCCTTTGGGGAGGGAGAGGCCGCGGCCCTGGAAGCCTGAGTTGGAGGTCTACAGGCAGGAATGAGGAGCGGGATACCCCACAAGGAGCGGGCAACAGGCATAGTGAGCCCACTCTGATAGCTTAGGAGGCACATACTAGCAAAGGCACAGGGAGGAGGTGCAGACATAGGCTGAGGCCACTCCAGGGAGGCCTGAGGCAGTGCCAGGCTGAGGAGCTTTACTGGAAGGTTTCTGGGTAGGGGAGGAGCAGGATGCAGAAGGAGCTAGGCAGGCTGGCCAATGTGCTATGAGGCTTCTGAAATAATGCAGGGATGCATTCAGTAATAATGAGCACAGGAGGAGGGGAATAAGACATGAGGAGTGACAGGAGGGAAGACAGGAAATGAGTGAGAACAGGTGCTACTGGCCTCTATTTCCACGAGGACAGGGCTGCTTGCCTAATGACACTCTAATAAACCAATGGGAAAGCAGTGACCCCCAGGAGAGTTCAAAGGAAGTCAAAGCCACTCCAGGTTGTCTTGCTCACCACGGAGATTATGTTCACTATGGAGTTCCAAGCTTTCATTTCCCCTGCCGGGCTCCACATGCTCCCCTGAGCTCTTGCTCTGCTCAGAGAGGAGGTTCCCACAGGGACAAAACCCTGTAGCCATCCTCACCTGTGAATGAGGAGTTCTAGCACCTGCTGGGCCTCACCTTGTTCTTGGCAAGCACGTTGGCTCCTGCTTTAACGAGCAGTTTGGCTGACTGGCTAAAACCGTGCCAGGACGCTTCGTGTAGGGCCGTATTCCCATCCTGAGGAACACATACAGAGACAGAGAGCACATTACCCAAGACCTAAATTATCTCATTATAATCAGTACATCGTAGCGTATTTCTAGGCCATGCCACAGGTTCTTTTTCAAAACAGGCTTGCCAGGGCACCTGGGTGGCTCAGTCGGTTAAGCATCTGACTTCGGCTCAGGCTTCAGATTCCGTGTCTCCCTCTCTCTTTCTGCCCCTCCACTGCTCGTGCTCTCGCTCTCTCTCAGAAATAAACATTAAAAAGAAGAAAAAAACCTTCTCATCTGAACCAGAACCCAGAAAATGATTTTAGTGGCTAGTTTCTCCATTCTCCCAGAAATGGTACATAACAAGTACCATTTTAGATTTATGTGTACAATGGATGCCTTCAGGCATTAGGGCTTAAACCTCCCTGGGAAGTCTGGCTGAGAAAGGCTTACCCACAGGTCACGTTTAACAGAAAGCAACATCAAGACGACAGGCATGATGTTCATTCCTTCCCACCTCCATCACTCCTTGGGGTCTGCTCTGCTATGCCCCTGGCCCCAGAGAGAACCCTGAAAAGTCCAGGCAAATGAGTCCAGCTCCATAAGTTTCTGGGCCCAAGGGCCGGGTAGACAGATTCCTCCTTTCTTTTTCTTCTCCCGAATTTAATCTCACCCAGCTTAATCCAAAGTCTCAGGGACCGAAACAAGTGGGCGCTGAGAAAGCAGTGACTTGTAAATAAGATAAACAAGTGTCTTCAACATGTGGCTTTTAAATAAAAACCAGCTGGGGAACCTGGGTGGCTCAGTCATTTAAGCATCCGACTTTGGCTCAGGTCATGATCTCGAGGTTCGTGAGTTCAAGTCCCGTATCAGGCTCTGTGCTGACCGCTCAGAGCCTGGAGCCTGCTTCAGGTTCTGTGTCTCCCTCTCTCTCTGCCCCTCCCTTGCTCATACTCTGTCTCTCTCTCTCTCTCAAAAGTAAATAAACATTAAAACAATTTTTTAAATAAACAAAAACCAATTAACAAACACAGCTGGTATTTGGTTAACTTCCTATAAAAAAAGAAATACTAAGTGCAGTGAAGTGTGGGGGGTGGGGCTGAGGGCTGGGTTTACAGGGAGAGAGAAGCACGGAGAGGAGAGGTAGAGAGACCGCCCGTGCTGTTCCAGGTCAGAGCGCAGGGCACTGTCCACTCATGTCCAGGCGCTAGCTTTAGCTTTTATTCGGCCACACCATGAGACAGGCTGAATGGTGCTGACACCACAAGGGGAATCTAGGGTCTCGAAGGCCATGGTAGGGGAGCGGCCCTAGGGAATGAGATGGTCCGTGGCGGTGTGTGGCACCACAGGAAGAAAAAGGAAAAGTGACCGGACAGGGGCACTACTGAAGCGGCTCCCAGTGTGCTGATCTGATCTGCTTCTCGATCTGGGGGCTCACATAGATGTGCTCTGTTAGTGAACACTCACAGCGCTGCATGCTTATAACGTGCACATTTTTCTGTATATATATTATGTTTAATAAAAACTTGTCTAAAAAGTAAGCAGAGGCTGAACTACACCTAATTGTGAAGTTCAATTGTGGTTTTCTTAATTAAAAAAAATTTTTTTAATGTTATTTATTTTTTGAGAGAGACAGAGACAGCATGAGCAGGGGAGGGTCAGAGAGAGAGGAAGACACAGAATCCGAAGACAGGCTCCAGCCTCTGAGCTGGCTGTCAGCACAGAGCCTGACGCAGAGCTTGAACCCACAAACCGTGAGATCATGACCTGAGCTGAAGTCGTACTGCCAACCAACTGAGCCACCCGGGCACCCCTGAAGTCCCATGTTTTAAGACTGTTTAACAATTCAAAAGCAACAGATTAATATAAAATATGTCATTGGGATTTCTTAAAGAATTGATTTTGCTTACTGTTTTTCTTCCAATACTATTTAAATAAATTAACTTGCTCACTTTCCTTTTTAAAAAAAATTGGAAAAAGAGTTCAGGGCACATCCCTTTCCCCACCCAGGCCTCCACAGGCCATTATTTCCAGACTTTTTTTTCTTTACCATTTATACGTATGTGGTTGCCCACTGCTGCCGCAGAACAGGGGAAACGATTAAAAAATTAAAATTTATTGGGATATTAGATACTCTTGCAAAAGAAAGTTAGGCTGATTTTACCATGTTAACTCATGACACATAGGACTCAGGAATCGTAACACCTTGAGCCATCACAGTTCCCCAAGCAAGGTCCTCAAGCTGACATGCCCCATGTCACCTTGTCTTGGCGGTCCAGAGCACAGCCCTCCTGGATAAGCGCCGCGATGACGTCCGTGTTCCCCACCACTGTGGCCCGGTGCAGCGCAGTCTGATCCCCCTGCAGAGTGACGTGGAGGCAGGAACAGTGGTCAGCTCTCCCAATCCCCCCCTCACACGACTCACCCCTCCACTCTGACACAAAGACATCTCCATTCTCAACTGCAGCAGACTGCTCACTCCGCCAGGTGGAGCATTTTTGTTCACAAACTCAGTGGGAATCTCAAACCAACCACAAAACAGCTCCAGAGTTGACCTTGTAATGAGGGTCAGGCACTGACCCACCGTCCCAAGGAAAGGCAGCGTTCAGAGGGAATATGACTGTCACATCTGTGAAAAGCTAGACTGTGTGTGTGATGCAATTAAACCAACAATCTTTACTCCCTACTGAGTCCTCTACTCCCCACTTTCAGAGGAATCACTATCCAGCTATGCCAGTTAGTAACACTCATGATTTGATGATGGGTACATATTTTTTGATTGACTTTATGGGCTAAGAGCAATGAAGGGATTGATTCTGTGTCATCTGAGGACTCCAGGACTACAAGCTATCACTGTGTATGTCTTGAAACCTCTTCTGATATTTCATGACAGCATCCTCACTGATTTATGACGTATTTGACCCTTTTTTCTGTGATCAGATGCCTGGGACTGCTGACCTTCTCTTTCTCCATCAGGGCACCAAAGAGAACTTGACTCCTGCCCCTAATTGCACTAGAGAAGAGGTAAGATGGTCAAGAAAAGAGAGGGTTCTAAAGCCTCTAAGAGCAATCTCATCTCTGACATGTACTCAAGAAGTCCAGTCGAGACAAATCAAGTCTAGCCTGGGGTCCAAACTGGAATGGGGAGACAGGTGACCAGTGTGAAAAAGTTCTGATAGGAAGGAAGGGGTACAGGGCAAGGGAGTCAGAAGATGTGAGACATGCACAGTCTTGGGAAACACCGGTCACCTTGCTGGGCCTTGGGTTCAGAGGTAGATGACCCCCAAGGTCTCTCCCCTTCTTGTGTTCTAGGATTTGGTTGGTAAGAGTTCTGAATAAGTAAAATGTTCTGGTGGAGCACCAGAGAGGCAAAGGACACACCCTGTGGCATCCCTTGTCCTGAGCCTAAGAGAGGAAAGAGAGACTTTTATAAGACAGAAAACACGGAGATTTTGAAAACAGAGATACGCTGCTACCTATAAATAGCCTTAATGAAATGCTGAGTCTACTTACTGAACTCTTTGGAATCTATAACCAACAGCAATGCACATTAAAAGCACTTACTCCAAAAAGAAATTCTGGAGATGGACAGTGGTAATGGTTGTACAACAATGTGGATGTACTCAATGCCAGGTTAGACTGTGCCTTCAAAATGGCACAGTTAAAATGGTTACAATAGTAAATTTTATATTAAATGCATTTTATCACAATAAAAAAACACTTAATCCTATTTAAAACTCAAATTCACTTTCTTAAAATTAAAAGAAAACCTCCATTTAGAAATCCATGAGGAGAAATGATTTTCATTTTCTCCCTTATACTTTTTAATACTTTCCAACTTTTTATATTTAACACATATAATTTTAGCAACAGGAAAAACTGCTATTTATTAAAAGTCTAAGCTGTAATAATATACACTAATAATGGGATTGCCCAAATCTTAGAATCTTTTCTCACTGTTCATTTGTAGAATTTCAGGGATTTCTGCAGTGATGGGTCAGGACATCCCACTCCATTATTATGATTTACCCACTGCCCACAGCATTTCCATCAAGAATGTTCCCCTTGGCATCCTAAATCATCATTCCCACTATAAATAAGGTTTGGACATGGTTTTCTTCTTGTCCACCTTCCCAGACCCCCCACCCAAGGAGAACCCTTTCTGCGTGCTTTGTAGTCACAAGAAGAATATGGCTACTGGATCAGCAGTTGAAGGAGGTGTGTAAAGCCATTACATGTCCGTCTCAAACATCTTAAGGAGTGTTTCCAGATGATGTACTCTTAATGTCCAAACAAGTAATCCTATGAGAAACTGCCCATGTCTTAACTTTATAAGAATTTCCAAGACTGTCATTTCCCCATCAGAATGGTGACAGGTGGGAGTGCCTGGGTGGCTCAGCTGGTTAAGCTTCCAACTTCAGCTCACGTCATGATCTCACAGTTCGTGAGTTTGAGACCCCCATCAGGCTCTGTGCTGACAGCTCGGAGCCTGGAGCCTGCTTCAGATTCTGTGTCTCCCTCTCTTTCTCCCCCTCCCCCATTTACATTGTCTCTCTGAAAAATAAACATTAAAAATTTTTAAGAAAAAAAAAAGAAGGGTGACAGGTTTTCCCAAAATGGACCTGAAGTGGAATTTATGATCTGATGAGAAAGATGGTGTTCTGTGCTCATCAAGAAAGAGGAGACCACAGCTCACTCCTCCAGAGTAAACACCAACAGGGCCTTTTAGTATTCCCACAGACTGCCAGCACTCTACTCAGCACTCCACCAACCTTTTTGCATAAAAGAACATAACCATTCTGTCCCTGTCGTGCACAAAGCCCCAAACTCATGGGTCGTGTCGACCACTCTTCCATCTGAGTCAAGGCACAAGGAGCCTCCACTAGTTAAGGCACAGTCTAACCTAAGCCTTGCTGCAGGTCAGTGGTTTGTCGTGTCTCACAAGCTGCCACTAAGTCACGAGTTGAGGCAGCTTTGGGGCCAGAACATCACCATTATTTTTTACTTGCTCTCAGCATGAATCTAATGTTTTTGCTTCCCTGTGGAGGGGACTTTCCTTCGTGGAACTCTGACTCAATGAAAGAAGCTAAATCTAACTTTCAGTTTAGCCTTTAAAAGGAAATTTCCAGATGGATTATCAAGACTCAAGGAGATCTACCAACCTGTGTGAGGCTGCAGTGACAACACAAATTGTCTTAAGCCACTGGCACGGGTGTCTCCTGCAGAGACCTTTTAGGGGTACTGCCTGTCTCCAGGCCATAGCTTCCCCTCCATCCTTACTTCCCTCCAAGACCTCACTCAGAACCTGGGTCCCGGCCTCATGAGTTGGATAAACACTGCTGAGAAGGCACCAACATCAGCCTTGTCACCATAAGTGGCTGCCCTTGAGCTCTACCATTAGCTTTGCGAACACTACCTGGGACAATTCTGGAGGACTGAGTAAGACACTTTCTCTGGCCTAAAAAAACAGCTACTCTAAAGTTAAGAAGATGAGAGTTAAACTCGGAGAGATGTGAAATAACATAAGCAAAGGGCCACCTTGGGCTTTCCATCTCAGGCTACTCTTCCCAGAACACAGTACAATCAAGACCTGAGACCCTTGATTGAAACAGAGCCGGTTTCCTGGGAATCGCTTTCCTCCTCTGAAATTTACTGTGGAAACGTTTCCTCTTTGAAACAGGACACAGAAGACAATAAAATGTGTCCTCAATACATACTTATTAACAGACCCAAGCAGCGTCTTTGACATAATCCTTATTTCTATGATATAAATAAACCCTGAGATACTGAAACTTTGAAAAAAGATGCTAGAAAAAACTGACACTCTTATCAGCAGTTACGTGTTCAATGAATATTTACTGACACTACTGTACTCCAAGTGGCATCATTTTATTGATTTAAAAAAACGAAGCCTCAGTGCAGCTCAGTGCCTTGCCTAGGATAACCAGCTAATTTGGGGTAGCGTGGGTAGGCCAGAAGTCAATTTGTCAAGGCTCTTTGCACTTACTCCAAACTGTTTCCACCCTATGAAGTCAATTAACCTCAGAGAAGGCCTTAAAAAAGATCAGGTCCCTCTGTGGGTTTGAAGCTGCCTCTTATGGCATCATCTAGCTAAGTGCTTTAGCACAGGGCCCTGGCCACTACAGGCGCCCAAGAAGTATCTGTTGAATGATTAACTACAAAGAAGCTGAAGGAAAAACACTGCAGTTGGAAACCCGGAGAGCCAGCAACCTTGCAGTTTGGCACTTTGATCTGGTACATGCTGACCTGTTTGCAAAGTGCATGAACTGCCAGCTCTCAATTTTTCTGACTTCAGTGTTTCTTGCTTTGGGAATTTAAGGAGTTTGGAACCTCTGAGGTCTCAATCTTTGTTTTGCAATACTTTTAGTTCTCTCTCCTACATGGTGAAAAAGAAAGAGCACAGGTGCAGGCAGATTGCAAAGCTAAGCTCATGGAAGAAACACGAATCATGCAAAGGTGGAACACGTCCCTCCTCTTCAGGAGGAATCCCTCCCAGGCGGAACAGACAGACATGTTGCAAGGAAGCCCGAAACAGTGTAGGTGTGCAAAGCAAATTGCTGACCTCGTGTTCTCTCTCTGATCTTCTAGGGTTCTTCCTAGCCTTTCTTCTCTGTTTTTTCTTATTTTTTTCTTCCTTCATGGCTTTTATCATGGCCACAGGGTCCTGGGCTATTTCTGAGGTAGGGGCCGTGTGGTTGCTCATTGACCAATCAGAGATGGCATTAGAGCTCCAATGTGAGTTGACAGGATTGGCAGGAAGCAAGAGGGAATTTTCTCCTGGAGTTGCATATTCTAAAGAACTGGTTTCCACAGGTTGAAATTCATAATAATCCCACTCCAGGCCACTGGAGGTCATTCTTCAACTAATTCTCAGTCCTTACCGTGACATAAGGAACGTATCTGTAGAATATGAAGTTAGGAGTAAATTCTTCGTAATATTAACATTCTCTACTTCTACCCATCATCCAAGACAGGTAACTTCTGAACTGAATTTTTCCAATAATTAATGTCCCAGCTTCTTTAAAAAACACCTATAGTTTTCTTCTTCAGATTCTTGCATTAAGTTTCAAAGCTGATCATCAACAGCACGGTAAGTAGGTAGAAGATAGACATGAACAATATTCTCGCGAACACGTTACTTCAGAACTAGTGAAGATCAATTCTACCTTCTCCACTCCCAACAGTTTTAACACTGTTTTGTTCTGGTGTTTCTGTTTTGTTTTGTCTTGATTTAAGTTATCAGGGAGAAGCAATGTACATTGGGGCAAGGAAAATATGCAAGAAAAAACATTATTCCAATAAATGAAAGAAATTGTTCTCATCTAAAAGTAGGGCTGAATTTCCTTCTGCTGACATGTGTCCCCTTGGCTACCTTGTGAAAACTCCTATTTTACTTCCTACCTCGCCTGAAATAAACATCCACAGTTCTTGGAAGTTAGCATGGCTCTTGCTGCATGAGAACACAGTGATTTTTGGAGCTTGAGACCTGAGGCAGGAGTTGGGTTAGGATGCGTTAGCGTGCCTGGCATGGTAGCCTTGCCACCATGGTCAGTAAAGGCTTCAATTATGCAAAGAGAAGACCAGATGCATCCCAACATGTTTGCACTAGCCACCCAATGTCCTGCCTTTCCTGTGAGAGAAATCTTCTCTCTCCTTGTATTTTTAGTCCTGTCATCTAAGGATGTGATAGAATCGGGAATGTTATAATGGTCACAGTGTAGGGAAAATGTATTATGATCCGAGGTAGAAATCAACAGCTAAAAGCTAAATCAGCAAAAATATCTGAAAGTAATATTTTTGATGACCCAGTGATTCCAAATATAACCAGAGATTTATGAATGATACTGGACAGCCTTCTTCTGCCTGTACATAAAACAATGACATTATTTTTTTCCAAATGCTGTCCTACTCACTGTATGTTGGCCAAGTTTTAGGAAATTACATAGATGCCTACAGAAAACTAGATGCACTTTGGTGACCTATACCCTACTAGCACACCCGAGGGGCTTAAATTTGATTAACACTCTAACCTCAGTTATTAAAGGTGAATCAGGAAGAGATATGATATATGCAAATTCTATAAGATTCTGTGTTCCTCACAAAATTTGTTTCTTAGAGTCCTACCATACAAATTAGAATTGAAATTGAAAACGAGTTTCTGAAAATAATTTCCAATTACATTATCATAAGGCTGTTTCCTAATAGCTCACTGGAGGACAATTTATATCATCTTATCTATACCTCTTCTTAGAGAATCTACCTCCTCAAAGATCCAATCGGCAACCCTGTGCACGACATGACCTCACCCCAGACACTGTTGATGGACTCAGGAATGAATACTTGACTTCAAAGGAGCCAATTGGAGTCTCTGTCTACATAATCTGAATGAAGAGACTCAGAGACTGAGTCTTTTTTTTTTTTTTCCAGTAGGCTTCATGCCCAGAACCCAATGGGGGCTTGAACTAATGACCCTGAGATCAAGACCTGAGCTGAGATCAAAAGTTGGACACTCAACTGACTGAGCCACCCAGGTGCCCCCAGAGACTGAGTCTTAATAAAGGCATAACACGAGAGGGAACTCTATTAGGATGCTTCCTTTTTCTTGGATTCCATGATATCTGTTAATTTTTTATTTGAACAGGTCCTTTTAAACTAAATTTATACTAAGAAAAATCAAGGTGTGAAGAGGAAAAAGTTATGTTTTTAAGTTCTACTTTTCCCTAATGGTAAGCCTAGTCAATGACACATTTCCAACAGGCCTTGCCCACACTCACTCACATACGTGTGCACATGTGCGTGTGTTTGGGTGTGTGGTGCACTCCTCCACACCAGGACAGGACATAGGCAATATGTCCTTTGAGGCTCTGTACGTGGATGATACTAGATAGCACATGAACCATGATGGGAAAACCACCCCAACCTTGCAAACTGTAGCTTGCTACTGAGAGTGGGTCTTCAAGACGTTTGTCCACCATGGCGACCAAGATGGAGCTAAAAAGTGCTAGGAGAGCATCTTCTCAACCTCCCACCACATAGCTGGTTACACACTATACTGTGTACTTCCAGGCAGACAAGCTCCTTAAACAACTCATCCCAATAAAATGTGGCTTCTACTCACATCATCCTGGACATCGAGGTCACAGCCAGCCTTCAGCAAGATCTGGACCACAGAAAGATGGCCCTTATTGGCAGCAAGATGAAGGGGGGTCCGGCCATGCTGTTAATGCAAAGGAAACACTGATTTCAGAACAGGACATCGAAACCAATTGCCTGGAGGTAGGGGCCTAGAACAAGCTTTACACAATCGGAGCCCCTTTCCCCTTTAGTCGGGCAGGAGATCCTTATATATTTACCCAGAATTCAAGTTTGTCTCTGTTAACCTTTGTTATTGGCATCGTAATAAATGAATAAAATACACTAAAAATGCAAAGATTTCCTTTGGTGCATAATTTCTACTCCCCACTCATCAAACAATTAGGAAACTGAAGAGTTTCAAGTTTTCTCTTATTTTCTCCCTGGTGCTAACACTCAGGGATGATGACGTGGTCACAATGAAATGGATGGGGCAAAAAATGGGAGAACAGCAAAAGGTCAAGCTAATCAGCCCCAGAAAAATCTTTTAGGTAATTATTAAAAATTGAAACTACTGGCCAAACTGTTTTGAATAGTTCTCCCTTTATTGAAACAAAATTTTAAATTACAAAACAGGGGCACCTGGTGGCTCAGTCCGTTAAGTTTCCAGCTTCGGCTCAGGTCATGATCTCACGTTTCATGAGTTTGAGCTCCACATTAGGCTCTGTGCTGACAGCAGCCTGGAGCCTGCTTTGGATTCTGTGTCTCTCTTCCTCTTTGCTCCTCCCTCACTTTCTCTCTCTCTCTCTCTCTCAAAAATAAACATTAAAAATTTTTAAACAAATTACAAAATATTTTAGTCATTCAAAAATATGAATAAGATTTTTAAATGTATACACCTACCAATCACTTTAAGAAAACAGAAACTATAGATGTTCTTTGTGAACCCCTCTGAGATTTCATTTCCCTCCAACTCCAGAGGTAACCACTCTTTAAGATTTTATTTTTAAGTAATCTTTATACCCAAGATGGGTCTCAAACTCACAACCCCAAGATCAAGAGTTGTATGCTCTACCAACTCAGCCAGCCAGGCACTACGAGGTACCCACTCTTAAATTTGGTATTCTTCATTCCTTTGCTTTTTATTACATATTTTGCTATGTGTGCATAGCCATAGATAATAAATATTGTTTTGCTTATTTTAGAACCTTACATAAATAGAACTAATCATTTGGCGATTTTTGTCCAGTGTTATATTTTTGAGATTTCTTTTCATATAGTCACATGTAGGTCCAGATCATTTGTTCATTATTCACCCATTCCCTACTGATGGGCATCCACATTCTTTTCAGTGGTTTGCAGAACACACCAGTGTGCACACCTCCCTGTGTGCCTGAGTAGGCTTCTCAGCCTTGTTGTTGGGTCACAGACAGGACTGTTCCTTCAACAGTCCTAAGCCAGCTCCTGAGGTATAACATGGAGGGTAACACCCAGAATGACTCTCTTCAATGTGAATCAACTTCTATCCTGAGAACTGATCTTGCCAAACTCCAAATTCTTCAAATTCTAAAGAAGACATTAGATTCCCTTTGCTTTCCCCTTCAAGTTCACTGTGAAGAAATTTTCTACCTCCTGCTTCAAAAATCATTTAGCCACTGGCTCCCATCCATACTGAAACATACCCTGAGGGACTCATATGGGTTTCTTCATAAGGAGGAAATAGTTTCTTACTTCCTCCTACACCTTCATAAAACTTTCCAAAGACCTTTATTGATATTCTAGCAGAATAAATTCATTTGTGATCTCCATAAAGTGTCAGTCTGCCATGGGTAACTAGCCGTGGAGGAAAACACAGATAGCAGACAATAAAGGATCTTAATTTCTACCCATGAAATGCAATCAAAGCACTAGAATGATTCTGTAAAGAAAGAGGTCAGAGCTCACTTTAAAATTAGAATTCTCAATTAAGAAAAAAGTTACTCCCAACAAAGTGGGCTATAAAAAGCTTTCATAAAAGGGCAACGTCTGAGAGGAGATGGATTGACATTCCTTGGCTAGCAACTGTCTCAGTGCACACTGCTTAACCTTGATTCTTTCCATGGAAGGTCCACAGCTGATCAGATGGAGCAAAATAAGCAGGTTCCACTTACTGGGCCTGGTCCCAGGCTCCATCTGTCATCACGTGTCCTTGTTAAGGACATCAGATAATGACCTTCACCAAGTTTCTAGGCATTATGAAACACAGGAAGTTTTGTTCCTTTCCTGAGGAGATGGATGTGTGTGCTGTGAGGAAGGCTGCCAGGATGGCAGGACATAAGGGCTTCTGAGCACCTGAAGAACATAAACCATGACGGGGAGAGTTTGCTGGAGAGAGCCTGGGAAACAGGACAAAGGACACGGAGTCTCAGGGTGTCAGGTCGGGGGAGCCTGAGGAGCATCCTCGTCAGGAACCAGATATGACTGGTTGGAACCTGAGTCATAAGGAGGCTCACAGGTTTGCCCAAATGATCACAAATAATCAGAAGACAGAAGGAAATGGTGCTGGGATTCAAACCAGGTCACACCTGGGAGGGTGCTTTAGAAACTATAAATTACTAACAAGATGGCCTTGGACTAAAGGAAACTTCTGAATCCAAAGTCAACAGAGAATCCTCTCTGTGGAGAACGGACAGGCTGGATACAATGGAGCCTGATGTGCCCAGTTCAAATCCCAGGTCTGACTAAGAACTCCTATGGGACTTTGTGCACAACACTCTCCTGAGCCCATTTCTTACCTATAATATAGGAATAGGCTGGGACGCCTGGGTGGCTCAGTTGGTTAAGCGTCTGACTCTAGATTTCAGCTCAGGTCATGATCTCATAGTTCATGGGATTGGGCCACCATGGGTGTGTGAGGGGGTGCAGAGCCTGCCTGAGATTCTCTCTCTCCTTTTTTCTCTGTCCCTCCCCTGCTTGCTCGCACTCTCTCTCTCTCTCTCTCAAAATAAATAAATACACATTAAAAAAAATTTTTTTAATGTTTTATTTATTTCTAGGAGAGAGAGAGAGAAAGCGTGAGCAGGGGAGGGTCAGAGAGAGAGAGAGGGAGTCACAGACTCTGAAACAGGCTCCAGGCTCTGAGCTGGCAGTCAGCACAGAGCCCGATGCGGGGCTTGAACCCACGAACCGCGAGATCATGACCTGAGCCGAAGTCGGACGCTTAACTGACTAAGCCACCCAGGCGCCCCAACATTTTAAAAAATTATAAAACAGGAATAACCTGCTCTATGCTTGAAGTAACATCGCATCTAAGATGGGTTTTCCCTCCAGCTGCCCTCAGCCCTCAGCCCCGAAGACCCCCCAATTGTTCCCTCTCCTCCTTGACACACTTGCACCTTTGCCTTAAAAAAGACGCGAGATATTTTCAATGGCAAACACACTTGGGTGAAGGGCTGGAAATCAGATCACTTGGATGAACAAATGGGCCCCAGCTGAAGGGTTAAGGTTCCTGCTGGCCAGTCCTGATCTACTTGTCCACTTCCATCTTTGAAATATAGCCCATAGTTTCCAGTCTTGGTGTGTCTGCTGGATGGGCCTTCTTTCCTGGGAATGCCCTTCTCCAAACTTTGCCTTTTCTGACTCCCCAAGGAGCATTCCTGGCCTTGTCTCTGTTCCCAAAGCGCCTCAGCTTCCTCTTAGGAAATTAGCACATTCTGTTTTGAGGGCCACCCTGGGCACTGGCTTTTTCTTCCAACCAGGCTATAATCTCCCTGAGGTCAGGACTGTGCCTTCCACCACTGTGGAAGCAAGTTGACTCTGGTGTGGTACAGGGCCATGTCAAAGAGAAGTCAGTGTTCCTCAACCACAGGCAGGCTGAAGCTACCAAGGACCTGGGAGCAAATTCCAATTCCAGGCTTGACCTCTGAGAACTGGAGAGCCTAGGGGTGGTTCCAGGTTCTGGGATGTCTCAGCCCCTCAGAGAAAGTGTAAACATCTGGGGGCTTCATAAGTACTTAAGCAGGTGCAACAGTGACATGGGGACTTCTCTGAGAAGGGTGAGTGTCCCCCTCACGTCTGGCTCCTTTTCTAGCACCAGGTAAAAGTACAGGAGCATCAAAGGCAATAGTAATTGGTTTCCCACTGAACCTGAAGCTGTCCACTCCTGTTCCCTGGGTTTCCTCATACAAGTCATACCGCACAAAGGGGGAAGGCTGCAATCCCCCTAAGTGTGAGGGGGCAAATAATAACTGGTCCTTAGAGGGGTCTTTGAATGACTTAGACATTTCAAGGAAGCAACTGCCATCATCTTCATGCCCCTAGGACTGCCCAGTGAAAGAAGCGGGAAAAGGAGAGAAGATTATGAACTATGAATGATAAGACAAAGACATTTTTGAAGCATCCATTTGTCCTGGGATCTACCCCAGTTCAATGACCTGTCCAACTCAACTTAACCCGGGCCCTAGAGGGATTAGAAGGCCAATAACAATAAGGACAAGAGCAAGAGATAGCAGCAGCTCACATTTATAGGATACTTACATGATAGGCACTATCTTAAGAATCTTACACGTATTAACTCATTCAATCCTCCCCATGACCCCATGAGGTAGGCACTGTTATTAAGATGAGGAATTTCCATTTTACAGATGATGAAACTGAGGCATGGAGGGATCCTGTCACTTTTTCTATGTTCATATAGCAAGTAATTAGAGTCTGGATTCACCCCTAAGCCATGTGACTCTGGCCCCCAAGCTCTGACCCACCATTCTACCCGCCACCCACTTGCTGGGGTGAGGGAGTGATGCTCTCTTCTAGCAGAACGGTCCCATGTCTCACTGTTAGGAAGCTCCCAAGACACCTAGATGATGACCTCTGCAAATAACCTGGTTTCCTTAAAATCTAAAGAACAAGGAGGGAGGTGTTCTATCCTCACTATACATCCAAACCACTTGGGCAGGTTGGTCTGTTTGTCTGTCCATCTGTATTGATGCCTGAGCCCCTTCTCCAAAGTTTCTGGCTCAACTGGTAGTGGAACTCAGGCATCTGTTGTTATATACCCTCCCCAGGTAATATTTTTTTAACATTTATTCATTTTTGAGAGACAGAGAGAGACAGAGTACAAGACAGAGAGAGACAGAGTGCAAGCAGGGGAGGGGCACAGAGAGAGGG